AGGGAATTGGGAGTGAGTTGGAAGGTGTCTGAGCGCTCACTCCCGGCTAACGCATGGCCCGTCTTCAACTCGTCGGCAGTTGGAGCGTGACCAGGTTTTATATTTTATATGCTAATCTTTCTCTAGAGAATTCTATTGCGAACCCATTGAGACCAAAATGAAAGACCTAGGACAAAAATTAAGGTGACCAGAGTGAAAATAGTGAAAACATTTTATCGCGTTTGCGCACTCCTGGGAAACTCGTTCGCACTTTCTCTGTTTGCTGCGGGTAATTAGCCGGGCTTTTGGAGTATATATGCATTTAGTGCTGTAGAGAATTCTATTGCGAACACAATGATACCAAATTTAATCTCGTAGGATGAGAATTAAGGTAACAAAGTTGAAGAGAGTATACACTTTTCAGAATTTACGCGCGCTCCTGTGACACCCTGGGTCCCATATCGCACTATTGAGGGGTGGCATGCGGGGTGAGCGAAAGTGTTAAGTGGCACCTAGGCCATTCCTTAACCCAGAGCCAGCATTCACCCTCACTGCTCATGCCAAACTTTATTGATCTACTGCGACAAGAAACTTTTCATATGGTCTTGTCTCGTAGTAGGGAAGGATAGAGTGAGGAGAAATATGATTTGCCACTAATGTAACTGCTTACTATAAGACTAAATAACAGAATCAAGGCTCTTAATATCCCCTTCCAAGAGAAAGTTTGAATCATCAGGACAGCCAAGCATGCACAGGAAGCCAAGACTGCAAGGGGCAAGAATGGGAGTGACTTAGGGCCTGTTTAGAAAGAGATGCTTCTTATTACACAGTGCCCTTTTCTGGGACTGACTTTTGTCATTGGCTCGTTGTTGCTATATCCTGAATAACTCCAACCAATTCAATTCACACCAGGCCCTTGTGAGTCTTTAAAAATCCTACTGGAGACCAGAGGCCAAAACCTCGTCCCCAGACAGAGGCACAAGAAGCAGATGCTTCAAGATCACTCTGACCGAAGGAAATAGCCATCAGAAAGGTAGGGTGACCTTTAACAAACAATAGCTAGGTAAAAAAAATAAGTCCCTTAGAAAACTAAAAGGGAAAAGCATAAACAAAAGCAATAAAGTAGTACTGTAAGAACTCAGTAATTCAAATTCCAGTAACCCGAATCTTTGGGTAATCATAATAAATTCGAGTTCAAATTTTTGACTGCTCAACTTGATTAAAAATTTGGATTACTGGGGTTTCTGCTAAATGGAAAATTCTAATAAATTCGAGTTTGAGTTTTTGACTGTTGAATTCGTTTAAAAGTTCAGGTTACCAGACTGTGACTCACACATCAGGCTGTGTAGCAGCCACATTCAACAGCCTGGTTGACCAGACCACCAACTAGGAGGCCTGGTCAGTGACCAGGCTGCAGGGACATTAATCCTCGGGATCATCGACAGTATACAGATTTCTAGTGAATGAAAATCTGAATCAATTTAATTTTTTTAATTTTTGGACATTCTAGGTAAAAATTTGGCTAACCCAAATAGAGGTGGGTCCCATATAGTTTGGGTTATTGAGTGTAGAAAGTATACCATAGGGTACCATCAAAACAATAAAGAAAACAGGCAACCTCTTTTCATTCTAGTATCATCCTACTGCCCCCAGGTGGCTAACCTCACCTGCAGGCCACAAGGTCACCACACAGTCTTACAATCACCCAATCAGTCTTAATCCTAGTTCTTCATTGGTTCGCATTTTAGATTTTTGAGTCCCAATTTTTAGATACGTGGATGCAATCATTGGGACATTTTCCTCCAGGGGCCATTTTGAGTATTTTTTCCTTCATGTGGATATATTCTTCCACATCCCTTATTGTGTGGACTGTATGGAACAGTATGTTTCGATCTAAATATGCCTAGGGTTGCCTGCCTTAGATGGCAAGTGTTGCTATCACTAATGTTGCTCCTGCCATGATAGGGTTACTTAGCCTGGTTGGTTTGGGTGTTACTGTATATCTCTTATACCATTGCTGGTCTCATCGAGACCTTTAAAATACTGAACAAGTTGGAGGATATTAAACCAGATCACTTTTTTGAAGGTCATATGTAATAGTATCTAAAATACTAATAAATAAATAAATATATCTTTGATATCCTGAGAGTCAAACTAAATCTGTGCAAACACTTCATACAAATAAAAGGACCTCTCTAACGAATTAAAAAATTGTCCAACCTATGCCTTATTAAGAAATAAAAACAAAAAATACTGCACTTAATTTCAGGTTTATCCTCATAGTCTCCTTCCTTGTGCTTCAAACTCACACTGTATCTTGTACTACCCAGTTCTCCAATATTAGTACTTAAGACATATATCTTCGCCAGTATAATCACCTCCGTCAATTTATATTGTAGTTATATGTTGATATAAAACTTTGCTACAATGTACCTTTTCATCTTACCTGATATGTTAGATTAAGGACCTGCCTGAAACACTATGTGTGTTAGTGGTTTTGCAAGAATGTAAAAACACAACTCTTATGTAATCTCACCAACCCATTGTACCTTCTTGTGAATACAAATTATTATTATTATTATTATTATTATTATTATTATTATTATTATTATTATTATTATTATTATTATTATTATTATTATTATTATTATTATTGTTATTGTTATTATAGTTACAAGAGGCAACATGTTGAAGTTCAGTAAGCCATAATATAGGACAGAAAACTAGATGATTTTTCACCCATAGGGTTAAAAACCCATGGAATCACTTACTCATTGAAGCCATAAATGCAAAGACAATACCTAATTCAAAATCCAGTTGGAAACAATTTTCAGGAACAATGTGGGGGAAGGGATGATTCTTTGATAAGCTGCTTGCTTCCTCTCTTTGTTGAGGCCACTAGAGAAATAGTAGCCCTCAGGTAAATTCAGGTAAACTTGAAAAAGCCCACAGGAAACCTCACGACAATAGACCAGGCAAAAAGAAATGCCAATAACTCGACACTGCTGCTGAGGCAAGAAATTCCACCAGTGGAGCCACTCACATCAGTCAACCTAGGCCATGAAAAAATGGCACCAGCAGCAAAAACAGGAGAGAAAAGCCCCTTTTCCCCGCCCACACACTCCCCAGCAAAGAACTCTCAACCCGGAAACAACCAAACCAAGAGCTGAACTGGAAGGAAGACACAAAAAATAAATGAAGAAAAGCCATCTGAATGGTAAGCAATCCAAGGCCACTCAGCCAGGGCCTAGACAGAAAAACACCCTCCCTGGACCAATCAGATTACGTATGATTGGCTATCAGACCAATCATCTGCCCGAAACGCTGCGTGTACTAGTGGCTTTACAAGATTGTAATTACCATATTATGTATCTTCACAATCCCAATGTACCTTCTTGTATATGCATAAATAAATAAATAAATAAATCATACACCATTATCAGACTCAGCTGGTGGTCTGCATCTGAGATTGGTCACCTGGTGGCAGTTGGTTGATACTAAAAAGAGAACGAGGTGCCTGCTGGATTGTCTGTTTTTTTGTATTGGTTTGATTCTACCCTATAGTACTGTACTTTGGTTTTGGTTTATTTCCCATTTTCTTTTTCTAGGGTTTTATTTTTATTTTACCTTTCTGGTGGCTATTTCCTTTGGTTATAGTGATCTTGAACCCTCTTCTCCTTGTGCCACTGTGAGGGGACCAGGTTTTGGCCTCTGGTCTGTGGTTGGTTTTTAAGACTCACAAGGTCCTGGTGTGAATAATTTTCGATGGTGTTATCCAAGATGTAGCAACAGTGAGCCACTGAAAAACCTACCAGAAAGAAGTGTTTAAATTGAATGCTGTTTTTTAACAAGGCCCCAGAAGGAAAAAATCCAAAAGATTATAGAACATTTGAGGGAATTTACCTGAGTTGGAAAACACAATCACATACGGCCACCAGGTGATGCACACTCATCTAGACGGCCAAAGACTACAGTACAGTATTTAAGTTATCTAGTGCAATACTTATGTAAAGTGTAGTGAAATACAGTGCTTAGTGTGAGTGAACTAATCCTACTTTTGCCTGTTGTAGTCAATATGATGCTCAAATATAATTGTATTAAAGCTATTTCTAGCTAGTTCCCCAAATATTTAGTGCATTTTTTTCAACTGTTTTCATTTGTAATTCTTAGTATCAAGTTAAATATTTCAAAACTTTTTTAATTAATGTGGCAATGTGGATTTTACATGCAAATTTATTGGAACATTGTAAATTACTCATAATTCATTCCTTTATAATATTTGTTATTATTTAATCATGCTAAATTATTAGTAAATATTGTTCCTGAACAATACTTTTTAACTTAGGTTATTATATACTGAACATTTACTCCTAATTAACTCCAGCCTTCATCTTAAACAAGGCAACTCATTAAGTGTAAATTTTTAATGTTAATGGTTTCCTATAACTATTTGTGATCATTATTCCTTCACTGTGCATGGATCCTTGACTACCTTCCCTTCCACTGATAGTTACTGCTGTGTTAGTGGAAGAAAGTCAGGCTCATTAATATTATCAAGTAAACAACATTAATTAAAGACTTACATCACGCTGGTATGTCAGATATTTCCTTTCATATCATAGTATTTGTGCACTATTATATATTATATAGCTTGCATGGATGAAATATGTAGCACACTTATAAATATGTGAACAAATAGATTGATCACCATTATTTAGATCATGTGTGTGTACACTGCTATTTTTTTTTAATTTTGAAGCAAATAAATTATTGCATTTAGGACCATTTTCACAAAATGTATTAAATATTTGCTCACACAACAGATCATCTTAGACAATTTTAATAGTCTAATATAAATGAGCTGAATGTGAAGATATGAATGGGATATATGTTACAGATATAATCAGTGTTTATATTATCTGGGGTCGTATCACACTTTTGAGACTTTTTTTTAGCAATATACAAATTTAGTGTAGTGAAGTTTACTCTACCTAATCTATTGAATTATTTCCATGCTGCAGGGAAGCCAGAATGTGACAAGAGTAAGTATAGCATATGATCTCTTTCTGTGATAGAAAGAAAGTTGTACATGTTGTAAATCTTTTATTTTTTAGGAACCTTCTTTCATATGCAGTATATTGCTGCATCAGAATAATTGGCATGAAACATTTTGTTCTTTCCATCAGCTCACTAGACAACCCTGACATTTTCAGTATATGTTCCATTGGAGATTCATGAGGTGAACTCTATTGTGAAATTTCCATAACATTATGAATATTAAAAATCTTAAGAAATAATTATAAATACAGTATATAAGACTGACTGCAACTAAGAGTAAAAAAAAAATGAGTGAGTGTGAGTATGTGTGAACTTGGGAACACTGTTTTATGTACAGTATCTCGGATTTTTACTTAAGTGTGAATGTGACCAGTTTTTGTTCACTCCATAGCTACTCTTTCCTTCTCCATTATTCTCAATACCTGTACACAGTTTAAAGAGTACATGCTGATACACTTCTCTTGCAGGGTGACTTCTGCCTCCCTTTCCTTCTTGGAGGCTGCATTAAGTTGGCTTACTCCCTATCTGTGTCTAGTCATTGGGAGGTGCTGGCTTTCCTATCAAGACCTTGAGTGCCTGTTCAGCTGCTTCAACTTCATCTGTGTGGTTATACCCTTGCAGAGTGCATAGCTGAAGTTTCTCTACCACCTTGTTTGGTGGTTGGCACTTTGCTGACTCAGAGACTGTATAGTGCATGCCTTGGTGAACTTGAAGACTCTCCTGCTTAGTGTTTTATTCTTCATCTGGATTCTAGGGCTCGGTTCCATTTGGCCCACTGGCCCCTGGTCTGTTGTACAGTCTGTTCGCTGACCTTGCTGTTGCAAGTTTGCCTTTGTCTCCAATCACTTTTATGTTAGACATGGATGTTAGCCTCCAGCATTGATGTGAATCCACATTAATGTTTAGAAGATGGCAATGGTTTAATGACCAAACCACACATTAGAAAATGAAGAAATGAAAATGTTTTGGTCCATCTTGGACCATTATCAAGTCATATGCTGGCAATGGTTTGGATAACACTTCAATGCATATCTTTTTGTTCTGGGGCTTTGCAATTTGGTTACACTTGAACAGTGTGCTGGTAGTTCACTGCTTAATCTGAGAACACTCAAGCCATTCTCTTCAGTTGTGGCATTGGTCACTAACCATGGCCTCTATGTATTTTTTATTTCCAATGGAAATATAAAATGAGCTCACAATGTCCTCTAATTTTTGTCTCATTTCAGTGGAGTAGGATGTGGATGTGGTCTTCTTTCTTTGGATTTGCAAGATCTTTGGCTGGACCTGAGTGACCTTTTAACCTCTGCAAGGAACTGCTAGTTTCTGGTATAAGTGGCTTCATTCCCCAGCAGGAAAGTATTTGCATTGGATACAATGCATGTTGACTGAAGTTGGTGGGAGACAATCCATTTCCTCCAGTCCAGATATTGCTCTCTGAGCTAGGCAAGTTTAAGGGATTTATGTATCATGTCATTTTTTTTAGCTTCTATGTGGTTAGTTTAGCCATGGATATCAGCCTTCCTCTCTCATTTCCCTCAACCTATGCCTTTCCCATATTTTTATCTGACTCAAATGATCAACATTTGAAATTACTGGTACATGGTGTCATCATATTTTCTTACATCTGTATATTAGGCAGGTGGCAGATCTTCTGATTGCTCATTTACAAGTCTTTTCACTGCTCGCATGAGGTGGCTGCCTTCATCTTTGCTGTGCTAGTCATGCCAAACAATCTCTTCTTATGGATTGCCTCTTTTAGAGCCTCTCTCTTTTGGGCATTTAGTGAACCATGCTTCTGCACCATTTCTCAATCACAGGTCAGCTTTTTATCAGCCTCCTTGTCTTCATTTAGACCCTGTGTGGTTTGCCCATTTACCTTTTGTTCTCTCCTCAGTTCTAAATGTGCCCCATCTCTTAAGAGCATTACCCCTCTGGCAGTTTTTGTTGACTCTTGCTTCCGCTAATAGGGCAGGTGGACTACATGCTTAACGGCAGTGGCTGGAGTCCTTGGTATCTTATTTCAAGAATGATTTGAGCACTTAGTTGTTGTCTTCCTTCCTGGTAAAGACTGAGTACCTTGCTATAATAATAATAATAATAATAATAATAATAATATTTATTTAGGGAAAATACATACATACAAAATGAGATAAAAGAAGAATATTGGATTTCTAAGTAGGGCAAGAATATACTATGCCTAAAGCCACGAATACACAGCGTTTTGGGCATAGATCGGGCTATATGTTGTGGCCCAATTGCCCTTCAGGTTTGATTTGTTTTATCTGTCTATTCACCATACTTTGTGCCTTGGGCCTGCTTTACAGCTGTAGCTCTGTGCCTATCATGTTTGTTGCATCTCTGTTTCCTGTTACCTTTTGGATTTGCGACTACCCATCACACGTGTGTTGCCTTGAGTCAGGTGTCGTCTGAGTGATGCCTCCAGTCCACCCCTCTGTGAATGCCTCTGTGCCCTATCTGGTTCTTGCTGCTTCCTTGGCTAAATCCTGTTTACATTCTTGGCATTTCATAGTTTTAACCCTTGAATAGTTGGCTGAGGGAAGCAACTAATGGGGCCATGCTTAGCAATAAGGTGTTAAGGAGAAAGAAGCACTCCTTTCTCAGTGACACTTTGGTTACTCTCTGTTCCTACCTTATGGGTACCATCTTCCCAAAGTACACTTGTGTGGACTAAGTCTCTTTTCTTGATGTGGTTGTACTAGCTAGTACTGTACTGATACCTGGCAATCAGTGTAGTGGGTAGTTTGCTATTTATGTATTTTTAGTATGATACTGGCTATTTTTGTGATTGAAATGATAATTAGAATTTTGAAGGGGGGTTTTGAGTGGTTTGACATGTGCTTTAGAGTCTTAGTGAACAGTTTTTATTGGTGGTGGTGGACTGAGGTATCCTTCAACTGTGCTACTTTCCACTGTATAATGGGACTTAGTCAGTCTGAAATTTTAATTGTGTTTGTGGGGTTAAAAGTTGGCCAAAGTGTTGTAGCCTAGCAGTGACTTGGGTGGACCCATAGCCTTAACTGAGTGGATCAACTGAGATTCTGTTCTGAAAGAAGTGTGTCATTCCTCTCTGTGTCCTATTATTTGCATGGTTTCAAATGAATATAAAGAAAATATTTACATTAAGATCAGGTAAGTATTAAATACAATAAGGATGCAGAGATGATACTGTACATTAAAAATAGTACATAATTTATATATTTGATGTAGACAATAATATATGGATGTTGAATACCAAATTGCCTGCAGGTCACAGCTGTGGGTATATGAGTACAGTATTGTACATTAGATATTTTTGTGTATATAGCAATGAGTAAATGGAGTGGCAGTTGTTGAGCACTTTGCCCACTTTCATCATGAGTGTCTTTCAAAATATTACATTAGGACTTAAAAAAAAAATAACTTGCATGAGGGTCCACAGAGGATGAACAATTGGATCACCTTCGTCGTCGCTTGGAGGAGACGGAGAAGGCAATGGAGCGCCTCATGTGTCAGATGGGCTCAGTGACAGACAAGCTGACGGCCGCTAAGATCACCGAGGTTCTCTCCCAGGCACAAGCCCAGGCAAAGATCCTCAAGGTCAGGCCCTAGAATTAAGATGGTTTGGAGTCTTAACTCTCCTTGGGATCATGACAATGTTGGAACTCTCAACGTTGTCCAATTTTACTTCTTTCATTGAATAAAAAAGAAATAAGCTTGTAAACAGGAAGCTTTTAATTCATTTAAAGCTGTGTAGATGAATTGTTAGTCTACACACATATTCTACATTTGACAAAATGCAGATGGACACTCACTAAAATGTTCTCAGTGACCATAATAGTGGGAAAAATTTATCTAGCCAATTATTATCTAAAGTGATCCCAGTGAAGGTTAAGATGACAATGGAGACCAAGGAAGATTTGTCATTGTGAAGTCAGACAAGTTACGATAGTTAGATTTTTTCTACAATGTAACCCAGTTTCTTCTACAATATAACAGTGTTTATATTGTTTAGTACACTTCTATTGCCATATGAGGTATTGAAGATATTGTAAGTTATTATATAGTTTTGTTTTAATTCAGTCTGCTTTTGAGGTACTGTATTCATATTTTTAAGAAATAAGGGTTGGTTGAATTTTTCTCTAATGAAAATATGCAAAATGCTTTACTTTGACATTATTATGGCAAATCTTCCACTGGTCTCTGTGATTTACTTGTAATGTTTTTGTGCATTATTGAGTAGATGCTAACACTACTGTCCTTCTCCTTACCCCTGCCACCTCATCCACCACCACGATGTTCCTTACCACTGCCACACACATTTATACTCCTCACAACCACCACCACCACATTCCTTACCACTGCTACACATGTATAAACTGGCATCACCATCACATTTCTAAACAAATAAATGTGACAACCCATAATGGCTATTAAAATTACTGTCAGTTTCCACTGCAATATCTGGCATATTGGCAGAGCTTGACCAATTCTCTCATGAACTTGAAACACGACAGAAGAAAAAAGAAGAAGAGCTAGCAAAGATGGAGAAAGAAGAAGAGGAAAGAAAAAGAAGTGAAACAGCATTCAAAGAATGCCAGACAAATGTTAGCACGTCAGAAAGTGTCTTGTCTTCGGAAGCTACTCCCTCTTCAGGTCATACTAACAAAACTCAAAACTCTTTCTCGCCTCCCTTGCTAAATGGTGTCATACCACTTGGGTTTACAGATATTTCTGCAAAAAATGCTGTAAACATGAGCAAAAGTATTTCTACAGTTTCAAAAAACACTCTGAATTCATATACAAATATAGCTTCTAACCCTGTCACTGTGAATGCAAGTTGCTGTCACTCATCTGCACACTCCACCAATACTGTATCTTCCTCACATGCATCCCACATGAACTCATCTTCCAAAAAGCACCCTGACAACCCCTCCTCTACAGCCAGTATTCCTGCAAGCACTAACAGACACACCAGAAGGAAGGGTAAAAGGACTTCAAGTACCTGCTCTTCTGCCTGCACTAATAACAAAGTGCCAGCTCCCTCCAGTAGAGCAGTAAGTGCTGCCTGCATTATCATAAGCTATTCATAAAGCATTCATAAAATCTTCAGTATTGCCATATTGGACATAAAATACATCATTATTTATGTTGAATTTGCATAATATTTACTGTAGCATTGGTTATTGACCACATGAACTCAACTTCTCTTAGGTCTGTTAGCTAATACATGGAAATGCATTGAACTCTTATATAATTTTTCTGAGCACATACAGTGTCTTTATATAAGTTAATTTATAATATTTTTGTTAATTTAATAAAATATAAGGCTTTGAATCAATATGAAAGGCATAGCCATTACAGTTGCTCCATAAAGTAAGAATCCTCTGTGTCACAGACAAGATTCACAAGTAGTCAGGCAGGACAACATTCAGAAACTGTTGTCGTAGAGATATTTTCAAACATCCCTGCAGAGGGATGGGATAAGAGGCTAGGAAGATACTAGAGAAAGCTCAATCCAGCCAAGAATAACATGTCAAAAATACAACCATAAAAATTTTAAAGACACACAGCCACCCACTCACCAGTAGGTGGCAGCACTGGCACTTGCCCAGAATTCCCAATGTGAGCTTGATGCTGACATCTAGCTGGAGGGTCTCCTGAAATGTCAATGTACATGAGACAATTTTTGAGGTACTGTATTAGTCTTAACTAAAACAACCAAGGAAAAGAAATAATCACATGGTCCACTAAGGTCTTCAGCATATGCAGGGGTCAGGAACAGTATCTTGGCCGTATCTTATTATCTTATTAGCAGAGGAAAGAGTGAACCTTTTAATAGACACAAAGTTAGAAAAACCTATCGAAAGTTTTTGTCGATATTATTTTTTTCCAAAATCTATGCATATTTCAGTGATAGGAAAATTCATCTTGTGTACGGTACTCAGAATTATTTGGTCAAGTAGAAAACGATATATTGTAATATTAAATAGTCACATATTGTCATATTCGTATACTGTAGTCATATTCGGGAATATGATTACAGTATAAAGTGTTTGTGCTGTACAGGTATTCATACTAATTTAATAAAGCCACTGATCATAATCAGCATTTCGGGGAGATCTTAGGATTATTATTTCTGTGAGTAGCCCCTGTAATAACTTCCCAAGCTAAGCACTAGTCCAGCTGTGCCTCAGGAAGGTGAGCTTAGGCATCTAAAACCCATTTTTGCCTACAGGAAGACAATACCAAAATCTGGTTTACTTCACTGCATGAGACATACACCAAAACTGAGATAAAACACTACTATAAAGTATAAGTGTAATAAAACAAGCAACTACTAGAAGAAAAGTAGGTAGTTAAAGGTAATAAGGCAAATGTACTTTGTGCAGTGTAAACACACCAAACGGTGTAGTGCTTGACCACCATCGGGGTTGCTGGAGGAATGTTTGGCTGCGCTTTAACCCACTTTGGAGTTTTGCTCCTAAGGTTTTGTGGCCCAAAATTAATGTATTTTCTTAAACTCTAAACCCATAATTGGGTGGATTCCTACTCTGCTTCCATTTGGCAGTACATGTACTGTGTTGTAAATATACAGTATATTGTATAAGCAACATTTTGGTGCAACACATAAATATGTATCAATAATAAATCAGGATCATCTTGTTTTGATTCTTTTGTTAAATTAATGTATTATTGGGGGTTGTGGTAAGTAGATGCTGCTACTAATAATCACTATTTAGTAAGGATAAAGTACAATATGGGATCCCTACAAGCATTGGGTCTTAATTTATTCATCTCGAGCACTTGCTGTTTCTGATCATTCTTAGGCATTCAGTATTGCCATTATAATGGTTTTCATATATAATGTCCATTAGCTAATCCTTAGTGTCCATGCAAATATTAACTAGTGTAGTATTTGATGTTTGACTTATAAATTGTCAGTCTTGACACTGTCTATTGAGAACATAAATATTTTTAGGTATAAAAACCCATCTTTGAAGTTCAATACAGCTTAAAGTTTTCTGCAGCACTCATTGTAATTTTGGAGTCCTTATGAATGCTTTACATTGCACATTCTCAATGTAGCACTGAAAAGCATTCATATGACACCCTGTGTGGCTTTAGAAACCCAGTATTCCATAAACCCATAACTCACCTTCACGGAGTATTCGCAAGCATTCCAATGCAGCCTTGAAACAGTCTTTGGGCAGCACTGTGAGACCTCAGCACAGTCCCCTTGACTGGCTGCCTCTCTCCACAGATAGGCCTGGACAGTGTGATGGAGTCTGCTGCTGCTGCTGCTGCCACCACCAATAAAAAGGTTCCACTCATTAGTGCTTTGCTGCTTATTCTTGCCACTGCATGAATTTATTATACATTTTTAGTTTGTATTTTTAGTGTGATGCGCTCTTTCCATTTGTCTGTCATGTTTGTTCTGCATCTTATGCATAACGGATACTATTAATCATATCTTCTAAATGTTTAAAAATTTTCAGATATCAAAATATAATGTTCACATATTGGTGCATACAATGCAATATGTGATTTAGATATGTGAAGCCTGTTATTAGTATGGAAAGATAAGAAGGTTATTATTATTATTATTGCAATATGCAAAGGCTTACAGTATGCACACATCTTCAGGCAAGACTGTGTTGCAAGTGGGCAGTAATATATATTAGCTGCTGTAAATATCTCCAATGACTTGTATCAACTGTGACTGCTTTCATTGTATGGTACTAATGGTTAGACTCTGCATTAAGGGATGAAAAAACATGCAATCGCTATAAAAAGTATGAGACAGGAATTTTTTTTAGGCTTTTGCAGACTGTACATATACTGTACGACTGTACATAATACTGTACATATAATTTTTAATAACTTTCCTCTACTACAGTATGGTCTTGTAAGGATATGTATAACAAGGTTGCAAACTGGATAATACCAGTATCTAGGCTCCATCTCCAAAAGATGTTGAGGGCCTGTGATAGTGGTTTTTTGCAATTCTTGATAAATATGGAATTCCAGGAGTCAGACCTTTTCCCCTAAATAAACATTATCATTATCATTAACATATTATGAGAACCTTTTGTGCAAATGTACCTAATGTCATTTGGATGCTTTTAAAATATATTCTCCTTGTAATAATATCTGGGACAGTACTGTATTTGGTATATGAGTGTAAATATGAATTTTGATAATATGGAACCTATAAACTTAATTATTATATGCTGTTTAGAAATGGCTATTTATTTACAGTATACTAAATACAAAAGAGTCAATGTTGATTAATTTTTCTACTTGGCATAGCTGGTAGAAGAAATATTAATTAATATGTTTTATTTTTGGGACAGGAAGCTTGTGTATATATATATACACAAATATATACTTTAGTATTGAGATCCTCCATGGTCAAATTACAGACCCTCCCTACAATATAACCCCACCACAGTTGCCTAACTCCTGGGTACCTATTTAATACTAGATGAACAGAGACATTAGGTGAAAGGAAACGTTCCTAGCCATTTCTGTCCACCCAGGAATCAAACCTGAGATCCCTGATTAGAGTTGGGAACGAAGTCAGTTTAGTTTAGTTCATTTATTATGCACCCCATACCCATCTTGTGGGCGGTAGTGGAAAGGGTTACAGAGGCACATAATGGGCTCAGGGACTGAACCCCACAATTTATTTAGCTAAGCAAGTTACAATCTTGATGAGCTAGTTACAAAATTCAATATAAGTCGTCACATCAACAATGGGTTCGAGATCGACCTAGTCAACTGTTCCTAATTAGATTTCTTTCGTTATGTCATTGCTCTAATTTTCAAAGTGATACTAAATTTAATAAGAAATAAAACTTTTGAATCTAGATGTAAAGTTCCATCCTGAACATGTCACTTAGGGTCTACACTTACTTTAGGCAATGGCCTACTTTACCCTGGAAAGGATTAAATACAATCAGATAAGTAGACATTTTGCCCAAAGACAAAAGGTAGACAAATTGACAAAGAGGAATTCCTGAAAGCAGCAACTTCACGAGCAAGAGGACACAGATTCAAGCTGAGGAAACAAAGGTGCCTGAAAGAATATTAGAAGGTTTTCTTTTGCAAACAGAGTGGTAGATGGTTGGAACAAGCTAAGTGAGAAGGTGGTGGAGGCCAAAACGTTAGTAGTTTCAAAGCATTATACGAAAAAGTGTCTAGGACAGATGAGACACCATGAGCGTAGCTCTCATCCTGTAACTACACTTATGTAGTTACCATTGGCCTAGAAAGTAGATGTTGAAATCTCAGCAGAGCCTTGAGTTTTATAGGTAATATCAAGCACATGAGTGCAAGTGAAGGCTGGCTGGATCCCCAGATGACCTGAGTCGGTACCTGGTGGCATGCATGGATACTTTGACTTATGATTGCTTACAATCAGAAAACTACCACTTGCTTTGTTTTACTTCTTTTCTCCCTTTAAATTAAGATTATTGGTTTGTTTTACTATACCTATATTTTCAGGGTGTTTTTTCTTTATTTTTTTTGTCAATCTTTGATCATTGTATTTCCCTCACATCCATCACAGGACTGATCTTGGTGATGGATAGGCCTGTGGAAGTCCATAGGCTTGGTAGTGTTGATACTATGGTACCAAATCCTAATACTTTGAGGGAGCTATTGAGGCCTCGAAGAAAAGGGCATTTCATTAATTTCAATGTTTTATTATGGGCTTTCTTGTATGAAGAGCTTTTTGACTATAGATGTACGAACCTTCTGGAGGTTATTAGATTGTCTTTGCCACTGTCTCTGTCTATATTTATCCTGTCTTGACCTAGTTTATTTAGTTCTATTGAGGGGAAAACTGGACCTTGTATAAGGGAGTAAAAGAGTGCTTCAATTCAGAAAAAGGCTTGAAAGAACTTATAAATTAAGCCAAGAAAACCTTACTGAACCAAATATTATACTGTACAGGTATAAGGTTTCAGCTAAATGCCCTTAATTATTCCCATCGGAGGCAAGAAATCTGTTTACCGTATATATAAAAATATGAAGTTGTGAGATGTAAACCCAGTAATGGAGAGAACCACTGTACTTGATATATACAATATAAAATTTATGGAACTAGAATGCCTGCTTCTGCAAAGCATGTTGAAGATTACATCTATTTGATGTTTTATGTGGTGAAAGTTTTACCCCTCAGCCGAGCTGGCATGCTCATCACTGCATTGTCTTTTCTTTTTCCAAAACAGCATTTGAAAGTTCTTATTAAGTACTGCTTTATTTGATGTTCCTTAATCTAAAAAAGTATTCACCTCTCTTGTAATTATTTCCAAACTGTCTGTAATAGCATGATTTGTACATTGTGAAAACATTTATGCAGATACGTATGTTCTTCACACAAAAGACAAGACCCTAAGCAGACCCTCCCCAACAGCTGCAGTGTGACCCATCATTTGTTCCCACAATGCAGCATGCTTTTTGTATTTGTCAAGTTCAGTATTTTGTTCAGTATCTTTGCCCAAGCTCTTGATACTATAGTGTATAACCCATCTCTAAGATCACGGATGGGTTCAGTATATGAATTTAAAAATGTACTGTTGATAATTAGTTTTGTTAGTTTTTAAAAGTATTAAAATCCAATTTTAAAAGGATTGTTAAGAATGACCACAGCATAAATAATCAGTGTATATAATTAATTACCAGTATGCTTATTTTCTCATTTTCATAATACATTTAGGTAAATTGCTTATTACATAATATAATACTTCACTCTGTAGGGGGACATGAAGCCAGAGTATATTCATACAAGTTAGGCTTTTATTGACCCCCCCCCCCCAACAGGGTCAAATTACTGACCCCGCCCAGGATGCAACCCGACAACAAGCTGACCAACTCCTGTGTACCTACTTGGTCCTAGGTGAACAGAGGCATTAGGTGAAAAGAAATATGCCCAACCATTTCTGCCCTGCCCGGGATTCGAACCCGGAATTCTCGATTGTGTGTCGAGAACGAATCCGAATGTACTACCGGGACCCTTTGTTGTTGCAGTAAAGTATTTCAATATTACTATCTGCTGTTCCGTTGCAATTTCTGCTGTTCCATTCAACATGTAATTATTGTCATTTTTCTTCTCTATTTCTGTTCAGTTTATGCTTTTGATCTCAATTAGTTTAAGTCTTAGTTTTTATTTTTTTTATGACATTTTGCCTGAAATGCTGTGCGTATTACAGTAGTGGCTTTAGGCATAGTATATACTAGCTCTATTTAGAAATCCAACATTCTACTTGTAACTCATTTTGTTTGTATGGACTTTTACCAAAATAAACTATTGTTATTATTACGGTATTATTATTATTATTATTATTATTATTATTATTATTATTGAGAAAATCCTTAGGGGCAGTGTTGAGGGTTCGAACCTATGCGGTGGATGTTTCCACCCACACGCTTCTAGCGACTAGACCACGACGTGGTAATTTTGCAATTAGGATTGCAAAATTGCAGTCATCACTGCTCCTACAGATTTTCTCAATGATGCAGTCACGTTAGTGTGATTACTCTCTGTGTATTATTATTATTATTATTATTATTATTATTATTGTTGTTGTACTACTTGTACCATAAATCTTTGATAGGACTCTCCTGGCTAAAATTCTACATAAACTGTGTAAAGTGTAGAGAAGGCCAAATTAAACTTTTGGTGCATATATTAGCAAGATGAAGTCTGCCTAAGGCTTTTTAAACCTTACACTGCTCCATTTGCTATCTGTAGTTTTTACTTGATTTGTTAGCTTTTTTAGTCATACACACCACAATGTAGTATTTTCAAATATTTACACAAACACTTCAAGGGTTGAAGGTCCTCTTATTTTGTCCAGTTTATCCGGGTGTATTTTAAAGTTGGGTGCTGTTCTTTCTTCATTGCTATTGATATACCTACACTGTCCCTAAACTATTATTTCAGTAGGTAAATATTTGGCTTTGATTTACAGAAGAATGTTTCAATAAGTTGCTTTTTAAATAAACACTGTAGTGTTTACTTAATTTAATTCATTATGTCGGGGGACAAGAAGCCAGAGTGTATTTATACATGTTTTGGTTTTTATCGAGGTTTTAACAGAGGGGATGTGCATTGTCTGAAAACAGAGTTTGTCATTGGTCTTATAGCAGATTTTTGCTGGGTGATGATGGGCTTGATTTTTATAACCCTAATGATCCACTAAGTACTTCTGGTAAGTGTGATAATGAAATGTTAGCACAGTATGGAGCCACACACTATGACCAGATGATGCCAGCAGATGACATCCCCTGACGCAGCAAAATGCCTTCAGTAAACTATGCACATCATTGAGTCTAGTCTTAACACTGCTATTATTATTAAATTTTGATCACTAAATCATGAATATGAATCATTATTCTCACAAGATTATTTCCTAAAGGAACATGAGGTCATATGGCATGATGCGTAGATGCCTGAAATCTCGGTTGTGTACTGTGAATGTCTGCCTCCTGATGTGAACATCATAACTAGAATTGTGTTCACTAATATCTGAACCTTGTATATAGTCTTTATTACAGTCAGGATCATCTATGACACTATCATTGCAAAATAATTTCAGTTACTTATTTTATTCATAATCATTAAGTGGTGGTGGTGTGGCCCTGACTTGCACAGCTGTGCTGCGAGCTGCTGCTGCATGTGCCAGCCTTGGTCACTCTGGCAGTACTGAGGCTTTCACAGCTTTCATATGGGAGGTTGAAATTAAAATTTCACTCAGTGATATTAGGCCATAAAGGGTGGGAAATATGAATAGTAGCTCCCTTAATGTGGCTTCAATCACATTTGAATGATTTTCGTAGATGGACGCAATATTAGAAGAAAGATACACACATTAGAAGGAAGAATTGGGGGCCCTTGGGAAAGCCATATTGCATATTTAAAACCAAATTCTATGGTTCTTTTCATTTTGTGATTCCTGGATTTTTGTTAATTAAAATACAGTATAGGAATTTTTTCCTATGAAACTGTTTGCAGGCAAATTCTCTTGATAGTTGTCCTTCATATGTGATGTGAAGGCATGAGCTTTTAAGTCATTTATGGTCATGAATTTTTACATTATTTAGGGATACAAGTATTGAAACCTGTCCTCACTATATGTTCATGCATAATACCAGTATGCTTATTGACAGTATGTTGATTATGTATAAGTGTTTATACAAATAGTAAGTCCACCTTAGAAGTACTGTGATACACCACAATAGTACATTTACCATAACATTCCACCCAAGAGTCTTATACAGACAGGAAATTTGTCCTTCTCACTATTAGGGCAATTTTGGTAAGTCATATAGAACAACAGTTTAAATAATAGTTTATAAATTTACAATAGGTCTTATTTTCATAGCCTTAAGGATTAGGTTTACAAAAATATATATTGTACATGACTTTACTAATATCTTTGAAATTGAATATTGGTCCAACAAAACTAGGATTTACACAACAAGTACATATACTATGTCATTCACAATATCACTATTGGACTTTCATACACTTCAAGAGTGTTCTTGACTGGATCTAGTCCACTGCTATATCAACATTACAAAGTGAAAATGCCAATGGTAGGTGAACCAGTATTAACAGGAAACATGATAGAGAATGATTCTAGGCATGAACTTAACATAATATACACAATTCCACTTACCACTGGGACATTTAACTACATATAAATCCTGCTCTTATACTGTAATATAATAGCACAACAATACAGCAACTAGTCACTTCACATAGCTACATGTGGGATGATCCTCCGACTTGTGGTTAGTGCCATCGGGATGACTGTCTTGTTCTACAACACTCTCCAGAATGGACAAGTGTCGGCTTATGTTGACCCGACATGCCAAGCGTCCCAATGTTTTTCTTGTTCCAAATCCTGTTCCTTTTTATTTCCTATTGAGTTCAGAACTGGATTTTTAACACATATATTTTCCTCATATTTTCTAGTAACGGAATGTACTTAGAATTGTTTCTTTATACCTGTAAGTAGAATAGTACTTGATTATGTATTTTTAGAAGGGAGTAGTTTTCCCATGGTCAATATGTTTCTACACATGTGCAGAGCTAATAGCTGAGTTGGTGGGAGTTTTGAAAGTACACTTTCCAATACCACCAATATTCAAAAACTCATTACAAAGGTCCCTTCCTTACAGTGAAGTTCAAGTGAAAATTTCACTCAGTGAAATAGAGTGAAATTCCCATAGAGTGTAGGACCGAAATGTTGTCGTCTCTTCAATTTCTAGTGTGGTTTGGTCAACAATTTTTGTTGTTCTATATAGTTTGCCAAATTGAGGTTGCACCATATAGTTTAAGGTGGGAGTGTGGAATATATTTGTACAGGTCGATGAACTTTCTTTTTATTGAAATCAAAATTAAATTTAATGATTTCTGGGGTTTGGTTAGTACATTTCATTTTGGGATCTACTTGCTGAACAGCTTTCAATGACTGATGGATCATTACTCCAAATGCATAATGGATTTTTTGTTTCATAAGCTGTGGCCAAATATTTCTGGTATTGCAGTCTTTAGGAAATATATTAAATATATTTATATTTATCTCTGTCGGGGAGCCCCTCCGGCTCCCTGGAGCTATCTGACTGATATACGCTATATTAGTCAGGGGCATCAGTCAATAGAGCTCTGCCTACCGGGGACCACGAGCCACAACCTGGCCCCCTCAGAGAGGCACAGGGAGCAATGGCCTGTGGTAACCCCCATGTGTTTGGGAGCATTCCATGTCTGCCATCGACCGGGGTTAAACACCCAGAAAGGTAGGCATAACAAAACAAACCCCACCTGGTAAGAAATTGCAGCCGATGACCGAACAGAGACCGAACATCAGTCAACTCCATTGACTGATACCCCAGACTAATGTAGCGTATATCAGTCTCATAGCTCCAGAAAGCCGGAGGGGCTCCCTGCAATATATTTTTAATTTTTTCTAGAGTAGGGAAACTAAAATCTCTTCAAATTAAATTTAAAAACTTTAGCATTAATAAATAATTGGCTTTAATACTTTCTGCAATATAATTTTACATTATTTTTATACTAAAAATATTTTACTTTTTAAAATAAATTTGTGTGATCTGAATTCTGTAATGACTCTCATAGCTTGTATTTGTATTGGCCATCTAGGAGGAGGTGGGTGACATAACGAGTGAGGAAGATTACAGCAGTGAGGCACTCACAACAACACTAAGTGAGGACACGTCTCTTCCAACATCTCTCCGGCACCACCTTCACGAGCTCCAGGTAGACCAGCTGTCTAGTTTCTCAGAGCTTTTAGTAGATGGTGCTCCCTTACTGGAGGCCAGACATGTGCAGGATCCTTGTCTGAAAGCACAGGTAGATGACAACTCAACCTCTGAGGAAGAGGTTCTCGAGGATGACGAGCTTGTGTCACGGGAGGTGAATGTAGCTGTTACCCAACCTACAACCACCACCACCACCAATGTAGATATTTCTCCTCCATCTGAAAATGTAGAAATAGATATAACACCAATCCTGAAGGCAGTGGTAGATAATCCTATGTCCCAGAGTCCATTACAAGAAGCCATAGCTGATGTCGATGAAGGTATTAGTGACCAGAAAGTAAAATTACATGATCAACACCAACATGAGAGTTTATCCCATGACACTAATATTTCATCTACTCATAAAGATTTACCAAGAGAGACTGATGAATGTAGAGATGGTGATGTAGAGGCACATCCTACACCTAAGGAAGAAGCTAAATTGGATGAAATATCTCCAGAAGAAACAAAAATAGGAACTGGTTATACTGAAGATATTTTAACACTTTGCAATATCCAGGCAGACATTACTCAACCCCAAGAAGTACAGACTGCTGCACAACCTCATGAAGTACAGACTGTTGCACAACCCCAAGAAGTACAAACTGAGGCACAACTGCAAGAAGTACAGACTGTTGCACAACCCCAAGAAGTACAGACTGTTGCACAACCCCAAGAAGTACAAACTGAGGCACAACCGCAAGAAGTACAGACTGTTGCACAACCCCAAGAAGTACAGGCTGTTGCACAACCGCAAGAAGTACAGACTGCTGCACAACCGCAAGAAGTACAGCCTGTTGCACAACCCCAAGACGTACAGACTGTTGCACAACCCCAAGAAGTACTAACTGAGGCACAACCCCAAGAAGTACAGACTGCAGCACAACCCCAAGAAGTACTTACTGAGGCACAACCCCAAGAAGTACTTACTGAGGCACAACCCCAAGAAGTACTTACTGAGGCACAACCCCAAGACGTACAGACTGCTGCACAACCCCAAGAAGTACTAACTGAGGCACAACCCCAAGAGGAACAGACTGCTGCACAACTGCAAGAAGTACAGCCTGTTGCACAACCCCAAGACGTACAGACTGTTGCCCAACCCCAAGAAGTACTAACTGAGGCACAACCCCAAGAAGTACAGACTGCAGCACAACCCCAAGAAGTACTTACTGAGGCACAACCCCAAGACGTACAGACTGCTGCACAACCCCAAGAAGTACAGACTGCCGCACAACCCCAAGACGTACAGACTGCTGCACAACCCCAAGATGTACAGACTGCTGCACGACCCCAAGAAGTACCGACTGTTGCACAGGAACAACCATCTCTAGGTTCTGTGCAAAATCAAGATGAGGCATCTCCTTTAGAACTTGAATCACCACAGTTATGTCAGTTGATGGAACAAGAGCTAAAGACTGAAGAGAAAAAACTGATTAAATTGTCGCAAGATATAGAACAAACACAAGAAACCAAAGGCATTGAATCTGTTCACACATCCCCAGATACTGAACCAGAGCAAGGAAAGAATGTGGCTGAACCTGTCCAACCATTACAAGTTGAAGGACTAGTGCCTGCAAAAGAAATTACTAAACTACCAAAACCAGATGACACAACACCCCCAAGTAACACTTCTCAGGTTTCAGCTGTAAAACTAGAGTCTGCTGACTTTCATGAGGCTTCTGCAGATAAACAAGTTGGAGCAAATGCTGGCATTTCGGATGTTATTGGTCATAAAGAGGTTGCTGATATTAAGCGGAAACCTGCAAGTACAGTGATAAAAGAAGTAACATTCAAGTTGCCTTCGGAATCACCTTCAAGCAGCGATACAGGTGCAGAGGAGGGCTCCTCAGAGGCTACAGAGACTGGGGCTGATATTTCTGATTTTGTATCATTTGCTGAAGAAAACCAACCCCTTCCTGAGGTTCATAACAAAGAACCATTACACAAAGCTGGAATTGATGAACAAGCAGCTCCTGAAAGCCAGCCATGTAGAGATGTGTATGAAGTACCTGAAGCTGTGTATGTAGTGCCTGAAGCTGTGTATGAAGTGCCTGAAGCTGTGTATAGAGGTCAAGGAACTCAAACATCTTTTGCTTTATCACTTCCAACTCCTGTAGCTAAGAGCAAAGAACATAGCACTCAAACTGATGGCCAGCAAGGAATCACTGTTGTTGGTCTTAATACTTCTTTCCAACATGATAAAGATGGGGTAAAAACTCGTGCTGGAAGCCATGGCCCAGTCCATTCCCAACAGGTGACAGAAATCTTCCTTGATGCACTGCTTCCTTCAGAAACACAGCTGCTTGTGAAAGATGCTAAGGTTGTTGGTTCAACACCAATGCAAAATGTGGAGATTGAGGCAAGTGAGGCTGGAGATGTTCCATGTATAGTGACAAGTCATGTAAGTCTTGCTTTTTTAGGACTGGAGCATCGTGATGAAGCTGGTACTAGTTCATCACACACCATCACACCTGTTAAAGAGGGGGAAAGTGCAGCCTCAAGTCCCCATACTGTGAAAGACTTACCCAAACAAGAAGATAGCAATGCAGATTCAACAAAGCATAAAGATGTAGATTTAAAGGAATCAGCAAACTCCAATATAGAAATAATTGCAGCTCCTATAACATCTCCATTAACAACCTCCATAAGTATCCTAACATCAGACCAAATTGTGTCTCATGAAGGATGTCATGTAAAGAATGAGACTAGCTCAGAAAAGGAAACAAAGGTTACCCCAAAGGATGTATTGGAGACAGATAAGAGAGAAGAAAAACCTCAAGCTCAAAACACTCTTATGTCAACAACAGAAGTAGGCCTAAGTATGCAAAAAGCTTTAGACGATCCAAAACAGCAAACTATGCCACCACGTCCGTGTAGCCCAGTGCCACCTCCCTTATCTGAAGAGGAAGACAGAAATAGTAATTTTAAATCGTCTAAACAGACTCTCCCATCACAAGAGATTGAGAAGGTTTCTGAAGATGGAACACCGCACCAAGTTAGTCCATCTTTGGAAGCTATTGCAGAAGCAGTAGCTGCCTCTACCACCCGTGCTGCATTGGAGCTACTAGCCACAGCAACCACAGACACCTTTGGTCCACACCATGAGTCAAAGGTTATCAGTCATCTACCTGTACAAGTAAAGGAGGTTCAGTCTGAACAGTCCCCTCTATCCACAGTTGAGTCATCCCCAGCCACAACTGTAGTAGCCATTAGTAATGCAGAAGAAGATTTAGGAGCTTCTGGCCTGCATACTCAAAGTGAAACAGAGATTTTTGTCCCTGATACTTCCATACAGTTATCCAAAGCACCGTCTTCCACCATCACTTATCCCCCTTCAGACTCTCCAGTTTCCACACCAACAGATGAGATAATGCAAGAAAGTGTGGAGGCTGCCATTGCGGAGGCAGTACAAGAAGAAGTTCCCTGTAGTACTGTGATACCTGCTCTACCTCAGGAAGACATCTCAAAGGTTGCTGGAACCGACACAGTTAGCCCAGTAAGGAGCGGCTTGGCTCTGGCGTGGCTGTTACTCACATACTAAACTTCTATACTCCTCTCCTTCTGAAGCTGTAACACAGTAGTTGCTCCTACTAGTAGTACATAATGCATCATGGACCAATACGACCTATTAACTACTGTATTTTCTTGACTGACAGCTAATTGTGGAACTGTGTGTGTAGGAGAAAATCATATAGATTAATCTATTAATTATGTTGAGACAGCTTTCCTGAAGCATTATTGATATAATTATAACTAGTGATTAAAAGCCTGATTTATGCTTTGTATGAAAGTTACAGTATTTTATTACTTCTATGGATGATGAGCCTTTTCTATTTTTTTATTATTTTTCCATTTGTAAGCAGTAGATATATTCTATTAAATTATATATTATTTTATTTGTTGTTTTTATGTCAAAGAAGAAGCATTGGGTTTAATTTATTACAGTTTTTAGTGATTTAGTGTTTCATTCTGAAATAAACTAATATTACATGTCTATTAATAAAACATTGTCCTGTCAACTGAGCATAACTTAAGCCTTGTACATAAAGATTTAGCGGGATGCATGATGCACTTGATTCACTCCGGGAAAACAATTGTTTTTATTTATACATTTTATTATGTATATTGTATATATTATAATTATTTTAGTTTAGTTATGTATATGGGAAGAAATAATAATATTGAAATATAAAAAAGATTTTAGATTGTTAATAATTTTCGTATTGCATCTTGCTGCAATTCATGTGCTTTTGTTCCCCATCAAAGCCATTTATCCTTCCTTTCCCTTTCACTCTCTCAATTTCTTTGTTAAACAATGTTTCTATTATGCGTGTATTGTACATATTTTGTATAAATACTCTATCATAAATTACCAAAATCTCTGAAAGGTCTTTTAAGCTCAATGTACTTTATTGTACAGGAAATACCCTTTAACCCTTAGACCGCTCAATACATACATACATGATTTGACAAAAAATAATTTAACATAACTTTTTAAAACTTGCTCAAACACTTTCCAATTTTTTTTTTGCATAATCAACTAGGCAAATGCTCCAACTTTGTTTAAATGATCACAGTGTAACTTGAAAATCAAGAGAATCAAAATTAATTTTAAAATTGAATATTGAGAACCTCAGATTTTCAATTCAGAATAAAAAATATGAACTATCATTAATTGTTCATTTAATGTTTCTGTTCTCTCAGAATAGCCTATGATCTTCATTTGCATCAAATTAGAATATAGGTTTTCAGCATAGTTTACTGTAAAAATAATCGTCAATAGGGCATTTGAAATATGCGGCAAGTTTAGACCAAAAAAAATTATAATTCCAAATTTATAAAGTTTATGAAAAATCCATTCTGATGGGATTGTAGAACAGACAGCTGAGCACACAATATGTCAAAATAGTGAGAATCGGTTAATAACTGGAATTTTAGATGCCACTCTTAGTTGAAACTCTGGTTTCAGAGATAATTGAAGTTGAAGTTATCAACAATGAATAAAGGTAGTTTTAATTCATTAATTTAATTGTATGTTTTAATAAGCATTGTTTGGCATTTGTACTCGAATATGTGAAAGTTGTAGGTCAATAGGTGTTGAAATGAAGTCAAGAAAAAATAACCCCCCCAAAAAAACACAAAATATTTTGGGTTAATTATAATGATTTAGGGGATATATTTAGAGTATACCTTAAGTGAAAAAGACCTAATATGGTCCCTAATCATCAAAACAACCTAAAGAGACAAAGAAAATAGAGTTTGAAATCAGATAAAAAATCAGCCCAAAAAAATTAAAAGTACCAAGTTTTGCGAGTTGTGACTGATTAATTGTAAACCAATTTCATTCTATCTTCACATAAGTTTGGAAACATATGTATTCTCCAGGATGTAAAGGTTACAACAAAATCAGATAATAAACAAAGGAGAAAAAAAAAAAAAAAAATAATAATAATAATAATATTTTTGGGACATTGATGAAAGTAACATATATTAACATTGGACAATGTATTTATATGATATATAACAAAATAGATCATATTAGCATAGTTATTCATTATTATTTGTGTTATTATGTATTACTCAGCAATGATATAAAGGCACCAACTGCATATCCACTTTGTGGACACTTCTTACTACGTTCTTCTTCTTTGAGCTTTGGACAGGTGCTTGCATCTTTTTATTACTGCATAATCCTTCAGTTCCAGTTATTAGGAGCTGTTCTCCTTATCAATAAAACGTTCTTATTTTTCAAAAATTCGTCTAAAATCAATTTCTGACAATATTTTGATGAAAGTTTCACGACACTGAAGCCAATAATTTGGAGATTTGTTTAACATTTTTAAGTTGTTTTTACATAATTTGAATACTTTTTGCTATTATGTCCCCTATATTCGCTGTAATATGCGCAGTCTAAGGGTTAAGCGTTCTTCAGCTTGCTATTCATATTAGCCGGATCACATTGATAAACAACTTTTTTTAGTGCAGCTCTTTGATTCTTCCCCACACTTAATTGTACATATTCCTGTAAAAGGATTCTTTGTTTCCTGTCTGTTTTGATTGCTCTTTCCACATCCTGTAACCGTGTCAGTTATTTTTAAATTCTTATTTATACCAGTAACTTTTTTCTCGGCTTGAATAGTTATTCATATAATCCTCACACCACACTTTTCTTGAAGTCTCTTTGGTTCACATCTATAAAGGACAAATTAATAATTTTGTCCTATTACCCTTCAAATTGCTTTTGGTGTGTTCACAATGTGTTCAGGTGTGTCCCTGTTATCAGTACAGTACAACACTATGACTGTATATGATTAATGTTACCTTGAGCTATGATCTATTTACCTTTCAATTTTTACTTATTGTTAATAATTAACCTAAATTTAACATGTATCTCAATAATGCTTAGGCAGTTAGTATGATTAGCTATATTTTGTACTTAGCATTTTATCAATTTGACTGATGGCCACCATGTTAGATGAGGAGTCTTTATGATGGGTAAAAGAGCTTAAGTATTTGATAGTACCCCCACTCTGTGTTGTAGCCTGGTAACTCTCTGGCAGGAACATGGAGATAAAGTCAGAAGACCTTAGCATAACAATCAAAACAGGTTCTGTGCAAACTTTAAACACTAAAGTCTCTCTTACTCCACTAGCAGCAAGGTTCAAGTTATGTTTAGGGAACTGGAGGTCCAGAACATTAAATGGCACAGTGAGAATAAAGATTAAAAAGTACATGAAAGATTCTGATGCCAACTATCACTTGGAAATTCTTAAGTTTGTATGAATCACCTTTTTTGGCTGTTTTCTGTGCTGGAGAGAATTTTCTGTTTGCCTAGTATCACCATGACCCATTGGGACAGATGATCGAAAAGTTCCCTCTGTGTATGTGTAAAATGCTGACCCACCTTGACTGTGTGGGATCTTAACCAGTAGTCAGTAGGGTCTTGCTTTAGGGAGCATCAGACTGAACTGCTGGGAAAGGTACTTTTTATATGCCATTATTAGTATCTAATGTCATATACAAAATTTATTTTTAACTTAAGGGATTTAATTTATATTTATAATTTGTTTGCAAACTTATAAACACATTGCAGACTATGTAATATTGATAATAAATTCTTAAGATAAATTAAAATTTGAGTTAGTGTGAGGATTTGTTTAGTTAGGAAATGTTATATCTTGAAACAGCCGAGTGATCAACTGAGGCAATATCGGAGTAAGATAGCTGTTAACACTGGAGTTGCGTGCCAGGCAGGAGCTGCAAAAATTAGAGACTTCACTGCTTATATGGTAGAAGGTAGCTTGCTGGATGGACAGTAGATGGAGAATAGGAGAGTTAATAGACTTTCAGTATTTTACTAGATACTTTTTATAAATGTATTTTTTTACATTGTAACTTTGTATTACGTACAGTACTGTATTTCAATATGCCACAAATTTCTCTTCCAATATCATTTTATAAATTTCATTAAGTTTTTCATTATCTTTAGTTATGTAATAATATCAATACACTTATTAGATACAATATCAGATTTTCCTGATAAACAAAACTATAATAATAATAATAATGTTTGCAAAATATTTCATATGGTTCGATTACAGTGGTTATATAGTATAGTATATACTGTATATAGCTATTATATAAAGTCAATAATCAAGGACAAAGTTTTTAAAGGTTATGCTATTTCTGGAGAAATCATGTAATAAATTAACAGAATATATGAGATACAAATAGTTCTGTTAAATTGAAGAAACTAGGAAATTTCTCCTATTTTTTCCTTGGAGAACTATTCTGAATATTTGTTTATCTAATATACTTAATTTTCCTAGCAGAACGAAGATAGTCCGACATCGAGCAAGGGCTCAAGCCCCGACATGGAGGAGTATGAAGTCATCACAAAAGGTAAATATCAGTTCTCTGAATATCACGGCATTATGATTAACACTTATTTCAATGGCTGCAGTTATCAAACTGAATCAGTATTAATGTTTTTGCCTGAATTTACCTGAGGGTCCACCAACACAAGTGGCCTGGATGAGGACAGGAAGCCGGCGGCTTGTCAAAGGTCCCCCTATTTGCCCTGATCTTTTCTAGCTGTATTTTAAAACCCAGCAGTTTTCTATGAAGAGCCCCTCTGGGTTCCTGGAGCTATACCGGTCTGATATGTATGTATTAAACTGTGGCATCAGTCAATTCGAATGGAGTTCTAAGCATACCGGGGACCCCGAGCCAGAACCTGGCCTGCTCAGAAAGGTACGAACAGCAATGGCCTATAGAAACCCCGATGTGGTTAGAAGCATTCTCTGTTTGCCATCTACCGAGTTAGGCACCCAGAAAGGCAGGCGTCCCAAAACAGACCACAACTAGTTAAACAGTACTACCTAAAACCGAACCGCTAAGCAGAACTCCCCAATCAGAAAACAAGCAAACAAGCATGATGTCACACCCACCGCCGTGCCGCCTGTCTGCACAGCGCCTCCCCCTTCCTGAGAGGGGGGGAAAGGGGAAGCCCCAGACCCCACAGCAGCAATCCACCCTCAGTTCTGAGGCTGATGTGTTGGGTGATCGAGGTGTCTAAAGTATATGTAGTGCTTGTCCCTGACTGCGAGACCATTGGGGTAGATCCCTTTCAGCAGGATCGGTCGAGGAGGCAGCTGTTACTTCGGGCTCTGGTTCAGTTGGAGACTTACCAAGGGAGAGTAGTCCTGTTGGCCCCTTGGTGGCCGGCCCAGCCTTGGTTTCAGGTGCTGCTTGCTCGGTGTCCAAACTTGGGGATCTTTCCATGGCTCCATCTCTTTCAGCAGATCGGTCCGGTTTGGTACGTGGCTGGTTTGATCTTCTCCGATCTTCCTGTCTGGTCTTTCTAACGCAGGTTTATCACCAATTGTATGATGATCAGGTGGCTTTGTTGATGGTGTCCCACCTATGTGTTTCATCTTGGTGGCAGTATGAAGTTTCCTGGCGGTCCTTTCATCACTTTTTTTCTCTTCATAGGTAGACTTTGATTTCTGATTGGGTTGTTGTGTCCTTTCTCTCTTAGCTGTTTCAGAACCGTTATCTTATGCCGAATATTGTCGCCTCATATCTTGTAGCGCTGACAGAATTGCTTTAGCTTGAATTTGGGATGGATGTCACTTCTGCTCCATTCCGCAAGCTTTCTCGTGCATTTTTTCACCTACGGCCTGCTCGTGCGCCGCCTGAGCCATCCTGGTCATTGGACCAGGTGCTGTCTTTTCTCTTTTCACCTCGGTTTGTGGTGATCCCTTCAGTTCAGGATTGTTTTTTAAGACTCTTTTCTTGTTAGCATTGGCCTCTGGGGGTCGGGTCTGGGAGCTTCATGCTCTCCTCTGGTGCAGTGGTTTTTGCTCCTTCGGTCCTGGTGGTCAGTTTGTTCGTTTGCAGTGGTTAATGTTAAATAATTATTGTACTGTTGCTGGAACTACATACTCAATAATGTAATAGTCTATGCCTGTCATCATTAAGTTTCCCCTTTATATTGTATATCATTTGTTATTTTTCTTGAACACACTCACCTATGTTAGCCTACTTCTCATCTAGTATTAAGTGCTTACCCCTTTACACATTAGAATAATTTAGATAAAAATGATTTAAAGTTTTGCCCGAAATGCTTTATGTAATAGTGGCTTTGTAAGTACAGTACTGTACTGTATGTGTAACACCTATCCCTCCAATAGTCCCCATGCTCTTTTTTCTTTTTACACATATTCTTTTGAATAAAAAATAATAATAATTACAGTATTATTATTATTATTATTATTATTATTATTATTATTATTATTATTATTATTATTATTATTATTATTATTATTATTATTATATGCATTCTGACTAAAAATTTAAGATTTTGGCTTTTGTGACAACTGTATTCAGTTTTGGAGTACACTACAGTACAGTACCAATAAATATTTATCACCATTTATTTGCCTTAATTAAAAGTTGTTAGGACCACATATGTATTATAATTAGGATTTTTGTTAGTAGAAATGGTTCCACTGCTTGGCAGCTGTTTGCAATCCCTAAAACTTTTAAACTTCCAAAAGGATTAAACTTACTGTAAAAGCAGGCTGTCTGTCTAAAATATTATACTGTAGGCATTATGTTACCTTTGTTTTTATCTTACGCTATATTTTGCAGATGAAAATAATGCACGTGTTCCCCCTCTCACCGTGGAGAAGGTTCCTCTTGAGAAGCCTCCTACAGCTAAGGTAATGACCAAAAATTTGTTGTAAAGGTTAGATCATGTGAAAAATAATGCAAAGGTTTTCATTTTTACTTTCTGAGACTTGAGTTTGGTCTTTTTGAGTCATATGTGACTATATTTGTTTTATTCATTACAAAGGGCGAGGCTACCAAACTACAAGGTCAGATGTCTGAAGGTGATAAGGTTCAGGAGGAAGAAGGGGAAGAAGAGGAGGAAGAAGAAGAAGAGGAAGAAGAAGAGGAAGAAGAAGAAGAAGCAGAAGAAGCAGAAGAAGAGGAAGAAGAAGAAGCAGAAGAGGAAGAGGAAGAAGAGGTGGAGGAGGAAGGTGAACATAAGAAAAAGGAGGAACATGAAGAGAAAAAAGAAATAGCGAAAGAGAAACAGGAGCCAAAGGACAAAGAAGAAGAAGAAGAAGCAGAAGAGGAGGAAGAAGAAGAAGAGGAGAAGAAGAAGAAGAGGAAGAAGAAGAGGAGGAAGAAGAGGAGGAGGAAGTACAAGAAAACCACACTGCACCAAGCCGACAGACACCACCAGAGTGCAAGACAGTTCAGCCACCTTCATCCACAGATAAAACAGCAAGAGACAGTGCGGCCACAAATGCCACACTCTCAACACCTACAAAAGAAGACAGTGAACAGTTGCATTCAAATACCAAATGAGAAAAAATGTAAAATATAAATTAGTGACAAATATGTTACAGATGAACATCATATAGGAAGTTGCCTATTTTAGATGTCATGAACTGTATGTCCATTACTTGTGTCCAGTTTAGATGTAAAGTGAACATTAATATGATTTATATATATATATATATATATATATCTGCTTCTTGAGGCAGATATTGATGAAACTGGTGATCCTTTCTATTCTCCGACCGCAAATCACTATTGCACTGTAAATCAAAGCGAGGACCAAGGGTCTTTAGGAACACCAATTAATTATTGTGATTATGATCCTCAGTGTATTAAATCAAGTACTGTATATGGAAAATTATCAACAAAATGAGTGCTTCAGTATACAAAGACAAAGATCAATCTACTTATATGTTCAACTCTGTGATAACACTTCCTGGCTTAAATATGATGCTTGTATGTTTTTCTAATAGGGATTATACAAATTGGTTGATTGGCAGGAGTTCAGATGTATCTAAACATTTAGAATTAGCTCAACTGTGTAACTTGCTACACATGGAGAAGAATTTCTACATAATTAGTCAGATGTTTTAAGTAGAGGTGTAGCCTCAAATGTGGCTAAACATGATTACTGTGCCCTCTTATAAGCTAGCTCAAGTTCTCTACAGAGTATTTTATGTTTGATGCAAAGTTTAGGAAAGATGATATACAATTCTGGTATTGTACTTTAAACAGGTAGCATAAATGTAAGTGCAGGCAGTCCTTGTGTCTACATAAGGAATATAATGCAGCCCAAAAAGATCAGTTCATGGCAAGGGTCATGGTAGTACAGTTGAGTTCGTTCTTGACTCGCCATCTGGAATCCTGGATTCGAATCCCTCGGTTCACCTAGCAGTAAATAGGTACCTGGGAGTTAGTTAGTCAATTCTTGTGGCATTGCATCCTGGGAAGGGTCAGTAGTTTGACCTTGGGGAGACCTCGATACCAGTCTAACATATATACATACACACACAGGCTGTCTGTCCCCCAAAAAAGTGAATTTGGATGTTGTGCACTAAAGCAACAATTCATTGAGTAGACCTTACTTACCATCTTATATATGAGCATATCCACCCTTGTGCAGTTTTAAATTTCAATGTTAAAAAAACAAAACCATGAAAGTCTGAATTTCCTTCATCTTTATGCAGAACGATGGGCTGCCTATTAAAAACACACGGAGCTAAAGGTCACTATGCAAATGCATGTACAGAAGTTTACTCAGAAAATCATTAAATTGAAATGAATAATTAATAATAGATATATTTTGCATTACAATACTGTATAATTAAATATTTATTATTCTACGTTATTGCCAGATTTCTAATGCATGAAAATACATAAGATATATGTATGTGAAAATAAGTAATTACAAGAACATAATGCTATAGGTATTTTGAAGAAAAAAATAATGATTTTTTTTTTTTAAAGTAGACACGATTGTAGTCTATTCTTTAGTAGGCCTATCATGTATATTTTATTATATCAGAATCTTGTTTTAAGCGCTGTTTTCTGGATATATTAATATTTTAGTTAATGAAAGGTTCGGGTTTATGATTTGAGATGCTGCATTATGTGAAACTAAATGTTAATGTAAACCAATATTCAGTTAAGACTACAGAGAGGAGTGCCTCATTTTAGATGCATTTGAAGATGCATTGTCAGCTATATATTTTATTCCCAAGTTTAGTCAAATCTAATCCTATTCCAGTACAAATTCTGAGTAAATTGCCCAGAATATTGCTCTGAGTAAATTGAGCAGGACCTGTTGCTTTATTGACCATGGTTGAAAAAATCTGTACAGTGCAAACTTGCTTGAACGGATTAATTATGATGGACCTGTTCTGTTTCATCAAGGATTTCAATCCATTAGTGTTTTGCCATTTTTGATAATGCAAATTGTTTTGCTTTCTTCTGACCCCAAATGATAAAATACTGTACATATCTATGTATATGTAGACAACAAAATTGCATACAGCATGCTGTCTTTGATGCTGCTATCCTCACCTGAATTCAGCAAAGAATCTTGTCATTATGTATGCATCATGTCCTAAATTTATGTTCTCTAGTTAATTTGTGCAAAAGTTTAAGAATTTTATATGGCGATGCTCAAACAAGCTAGATTCTTATAGAATATTGCACTATAAAGGATCACTCTTTCATGTAATGTCTATTACTATTACATTTTTTTTCATATAAAGCTATGCTTCTGTGAATTTTTTTTATGCTTTTCTGTTGTATTCAACTGAGCATTTACGAGTGAGAGAGAGATAGAAGTTAATTACAGTTTGTCAACAGATTTTAATCTGGCTCAAGTGCTGATTAACATTTCTTCCATTAGATGATAACAGTTTACTTGAGGGCCACCATCTCACTAGTAGCCTTGATGGGGACAGGAAGCCGATGGCTTGTCAAAGGTCTCCCCATTTTTCTGAGTTTATGATGGGTTTCGGTCTCCATAATGGTCATCATCAATCAGCCCTGATTAATATACATATACTTAATATGTAAGTTATAATGCTTAAATTTCCCCTGTTAAAACTGGTTGGTAATTGTAGAATATTATTTCCATTGCCCATAATGCACATATATAGCAAGCTTTCCATGGGCAGTATATGTAATAATGATTTTGCATTTACATCTGTGAACAGCAGTTAAGAGTTCATGTCCAGGTCTTTATCATCCCACTTGTTATATTTTTGTTGTAACAATATACATTCGGGTATTCATGTCTTATAATACCTAAGCATATTATCTTGTTCAGTCTCATACAAGCTAATGAATTTTGTGTATGTTAGTCCCATTCACAGAAATGCCTCTTCAGCTATTTTAGTGGAATAGCAGTGTGGAAGAAAGTAGTTCTATTACTTTTGATGTTTTTACAGTCAATACAATTAATGGAGTGTTTTGGGTTTTTATGCAGATTTTATCTTTGTACGAATTTCAGAGATTCTGACATTTTTAGGGTTTTCTTTTAGAGCAACAACTTATTAAGAAAGTAAGTAAATCTTAGGTAAAAACTGAAAAGGAGCCATATCATAATATGCAAGTGTAGCATTGACAGTTTGTTAATACGTGACTTTAATGTTTTTGTAACTTTAAGAGAATTTATATTGATAGAAAATTTCAAGATTATGCAAGCTACATATACAGTACTAAATAATTAAACTGGATAACAATGCTCACACACAGTAGCAGTTTTAAAATACTGTACTGGGTAATGTAAAAAAAAAAAAAAAAAAAAAAAAAAAAGAGAGAATTTATAGATTTAACTTGGAGAAAATTTCTGGCACTTGGTGATGTAATTCATTTTCACTTACATTACTGATGCCTCCATTTATTTTTCTGAATGGTATTTTATAAAGTTTATATACTTGGGAAACAGGTAAGGAAAATTCTGTTTATCCTCAGTTCAGCGGTATGTCTCGTTTTCAACATTACCAATAAGGATAGTGGCTTATTTTCTTTCATTACTTGTGTGGAATCTAATTGCACTATTAAGTGATCCCTAACTTAACCTATTTCCTCTTAAATTAAAAGATATTGTTTGTTCTCAGGCTTTTTCTGATACCATATGCAAGGCTACTAATAAGAGAGAGCCCAATAGAGTACAGTATGAGAATTTGAGGCACAATGATTAGTTGGTTTTGATTTAGCGTGCAGTAGTAAAACAAACAATATTATTAGTCATTCAAAATCTAGTCAGAGAGTATCTGGTCATTATTCATTTGTTTCTGCAGAAAGATTTGTGAATCTGTACGTATTCAGCTAATAAAATATATCATACTGGAAGTGTTTTACTTACAGAAAAATTTATATTTTAACATTAACCCTTGTAGTGCATCAGTCTTTTGACTGAGAGTTGCCACTATGAGTAATCCTTAAAATATTTGAAAATAATTAATTTTATACCTGATTTACCCGAGGGCCAATAACCCTAGTGGCCTCGACAAATACAGGAAGCCGATGGCTTGTTGAAGGCAAGAAAATAGGCAGCTAGTTTATTGTGCATTCTATACTCATCATATAAGTGGTAGTGCAAAAAAAGGATTTAAGATGGCACAAAAGGTCTTTATCAGACCTCAACAGAGATTATTACTTTAACAATTTCATCTATCCTTCACACCTTATAATTATAATAGCAACTTGTTACATAGAATGTTCTATTTCTATAGCTATGTATTTACAGTTAATCATTATACATTAAACTACAAATGAGTAGTTGAGAGCACTCAATAAATATAGGAATGTTTTTTAAAGTTATTTTTTTAATTTATTCCTGAATTTGCTTATGTTAAAATCTACAAAAGCATTTATTTATTTATTTATATACAGTACAAGAAGGTACATTGGGTTCATGAGAGTATGGAGACGTGAGCTTTACATTCTTGTAAAGTCACTAACACACATAGCATTTCAAGCAGATCCTTAATCTTAAGATATAATCTTAAGAAGGTAATTTCTAGCAAAATTAAAAAAAATGTTTACAGGTACATTGTAAGTACAAAAATACATTGTAAGAAAGTACAAAAACATTTAATTTCATTCAAGTGTATATATAATGATTCAAGATATTTACAAAATAACTTTTATATAGTGACTAAAAATGTACAAGTGGTTATTATTCTTGTATTTCTTTAAGAGCTTTAATAATGTCCGGAGCTCCTTCCCCTATCTTTGGTTTCTCAAACTCCCCGCCAAAATAAGCGTATATTTTGGATGGTACTAATGAATCGGTGTTAGTTGATGGGTCATGGAATTCTTGGCAAAGGTTTTTCATGATAATGATAATCATTTCTATGAGGTCCTTGTCTGTCCAGTCAAGTTTCTTCTCCCGTTTATTCTGTAGTTCAATTAAGTAACTATTCTTCATTGCAAATCCTGCAGGGATCATGATTTTCCACTTTCTTGAATCCCACCAAATGTAATTGGCCTTCACTTCTCTTGGCATCCAAGGCTCAGCTTTCAGGTAGGAGAGGAGCGCTTTGCATGCTAAGTAAACACGTCGCTCTTGTGCCGTCAGTTCACTCAGGACTTCTGCTTCGGCGCCAGCAAAGCTACACCGCCATTCTCCGTCAGCTGTATTGCTAAGATACACCTGAGTAATATTGGCTGGCGTCAGGGGTGGTCTGCTTACTTCGGCTGGCCATGGAACAGCTAGCACGGGAACTAAGTCAATGCTAATTAGCAAAAGTGGATATTCCTTTCCCTGCCAAGCAAATGTTAGCGACACGCCCACCTGAGTTCTTGTCACACCTGGAGGCACTAGACTCAGTCGGCTGTTGGTGATTACGTGGGTCTTCAGGCAGCTACTTACTAAGTCATAAAACTTACTGATCAAAACATTTCCTTGTAGACTTGGATGTTCAGATTTGACCAGAACTCGAAGTCTATGACCACTCAAAGCTGCCTGCTGAGGGTTTTGCTCAACAATTTCTATACTAATTCCTGTGATATTTGAAAGTACGACACTCATATCATACTCATCAGGCGCATATAGACGAGTTCCATCTGACGAGCTCCCGACTATGGTGAGTTCACCTTCATATACTCTGTCAACAGCACTAACTTTATCCATTATAATGTGTACCTCGTTGGTCATAGCCTCTTTAACCTGCTGAGCTTCACCATCAGTGAAGTCTATGGAGATTTTGTTTAATTCTTTTGAAATATCTCTTATATTGACAGAATTCAAGATCTTCTTGATCCCTTCAGATGGATAGTTGAACACCATTGTATCTAAATCTCTTACAGTTTTCTTATACCGTATTAAATATTTCTTGAAACTGGAAATTAGATCATCGGGTGTTGTTCCTGCTACACTCACCGGCTGCTGCTCTGACATGTATACCTTTAACTGATTGTAACTTGTGTCATGGCCAAACATGGCAGCAAAATGGGCAGGTGTATGTCCGTATCTGTCTTGCTTTAAAGGACAAGCACCTAGACTTAACAGCAAGGCTAAACTCCCTGAGTTACCATGGGAGGCAGCTTGGTGGAGTGCGGTAGAATCATGTGTAGGATCTATCACTGCGTCAACATGAAGGCCTCCCACGGTAACCAGGAGATATGTTAGCTGCAAGAGCCCTCGCCGACTTGACACCAGGAGGCTGTAGGAGTGACTAGCTAGCTGTAGTGTTGAAGACACTGAGGGTAGCCTAGTCCCAGCCAGGGTGGTATTTGCAAGATATCTTTTAAATAAAGACTTGTACACGTCAATAACTGCCTGTAACTCATCCTTCTCTTCTTTATCTTTGACATTTTCCCAAAAATCTTCTAACTGTCGCCGTTCATGGTGATATAAATCCTGAAATTATTGAAATGTAAATAAATAGAAATACAATTTATATGTCAATGTCATAAAGTTATTTTCGTATCCAGTCAGTTTATTTCTTAAGCAATAATATTAGGCATATCTCACCTTTTCTATCCTTATCCTGTGAGTTACAGGCAGCATATCCAGTGGAAGCCTGCCGGACGAATCGGGGATATAGAGGCATCCACCCATGTGTTTAATCATCAACTCTGCAAAATGCCAGTGTTGAGCATCAATGGCTGCGTGTAGAGGCGTTGAACCAAGGTCATCCTGCAAGAAAGACTTCGCCCCAGCCAGCTTAAGGAAAGATGCTATCAAAGGGCAATTATTAGTGGCTGCCGCGACCATAAGAGATGATAGTTGACGCAGAGGCTGTGGGGGCCAACTGGCCTGCCAGGGGGTCGCGCCTCTTATACTGTTCACAAGTATTTCAACACCCTCACGGAGGGCCTCGTCCTCTGGTCTAATGCGACGCTTCTCAACCTCTAGAGTGTTCAGGAAGTGCTGCAAAAAAACATGTTTTAATTTCTAATGCAAACGATTATTTTTTTTTATTTTTCATGTTAATTTAAAAATACAGTCAAACAAAAATCATTAAGAACTGCAAACTAGCAAAAACAAATTATTTATTGTAAAAGAGAATCGAATTCTCAAAAGACAAACTCCCAGAGATGCGCCACCGGAATACTGTAGCTAAAATGGTACAGTATCTTCACACTCGCTAGTTAGTAACTACAGCGGCCGTGGACGACATGTACCAACTGTAGACTGTTCCTTTCCCCTACCCTAAAAGTCTATTCTTTGTACTATTGATATACTAAAGGATATAACATAAACTGCAGCAGCCTAATTATCAACCTAACGTTGATAATTGGGGAAATTACTCTTGCCCAATATTTGCAATCTTAGGCATTATTTAGGAAGCGCGTGCGCTTCCAGTGCGATGTCCACTCAGTTATCAGGCCCTTTATATTAAATATTAATGTACTCACCTAGTTGTGTTTGCGGGGGTTGAGCTCAGGCTCTTTGGTCCCGCCTCTCAACCGTCAATCAACAGGTGTACAGATTCCTGAGCCTATTGGGCTCTATCATATCTACACTACAAAATTCTCAGGGGAATTGACAGGGTGGACAAAGACAAACTCTTCAGCACGGGTGGGACACGAACAAGGGGACACAGGTGGAAACTTATAGTACCCAGATGAGCCACAGAGACGTTAGAAAGAATTTTTTCAGTGTCAGAGTAGTTAATAAATGGAATACACTAGGAAGTGATGGGTGGAGGCTGACTCCATACACAGTTTCAAATGTAGATATGATAGAGCCCAGTAGGCTCAGGAACCTGTACACCAGTTGATTGACAGTTGAGAGGCGGGACCAAAGAGCCAAAGCTCAACCCCCGCAAGCACAATTAGGTGAGTACTTGAAACTGTGTATGGAGTCAGCCTCCACCACATCACTTCCTAATGCATTCCATTTGTCAACCACTCTGACACTAAAAAAGTTCTTTCTAATATCTCTGTGGCTCATTTGGGCACTCAGTTTCCACCTGTGTCCCCTTGTGCGTATGCCCCTTGTGTTAAATAGCCTGTCTTTATCTACCCTATCAATTCCCTTCAGAATCTTGAATGTGGTGATCATGTCCCCCCTAACTCTTCTGTCTTCCAGCGATGTGAGGTTTATTTCCCGTAGTCTCTCCTCGTAGCTCATACCTCTCAGTTCGGGTACTAGTCTGGTGGCAAACCTTTGAACCTTTTCCAGTTTAATCTTATGCTTGACTAGATATGGACTCCATGCTGGGGCTGCATACTCCAGGATTGACCTGACATATGTGGTATACAAAGTTCTGAATGATTCTTTACACAAGTTTCTGAATGCCGCTCGTATGTTGGCCAGCCTGGCATATGCCGCTGATGTTATCCTCTTGATATGGGCTGCAGGAGACAGGTCTGGCGTGATATCAACTCCCAAGTCTTTTTCTTTCTCTGACTCCTGAAGAATTTCCTCTCTCAGATGATACCTTGTATCTGGCCTCCTGCTCCCTATACCTATCTTCATTACATTACATTTGGTTGGGTTAAACTCTAACAATCATTTGTTCGACCATTCCTTCAGCTTGTCTAGGTCTTCTTGAAGCCTCAAACAGTCCTCTTCTGTCTTAATCCTTCTCATAATTTTGGCATCGTCCGCAAACATTGATAGAAATGAATCTATATCCTCCGGGAGATCATTTACATATATCAGAAACAAGACAGGACCGAGTACAGAGCCCTGTGGGACTCCACTGGTGACTTCACGCCAATCGGAGGTCTCACCCCTCACCGTAACTCTCTGCTTCCTATTGCTTAGGTACTCCCTTATTCACTGGAGCACCTTACCAGCTACACCTGCCTGTCTCTCCAGCTTATGTACCAGCCTCTTATGTACCATGCGGTACTGTGTCAAAGGCTTTCCGACAATCCAAGAAAATACAGTCTGCCCAGCCCTCTCTTTCTTGCTTAATCTTTGTCACCTGGTCGTAGAATTCTATTAAGCCAGTCTGGCAAGATTTACCCTCCCTGAACCCATGTTGGCGATTTGTCACGAAGTCCCTTATCTCCAGATGTGATACCAGGTTTTTTCTCACGATCTTCTCCATCACCTTGCATGGTATACAAGTCAAGGACACTGGCCTGTAGTTCAGTGCCTCTTGCCTGTCGCCCTTTTTGTATATTGGGACCACATTCGCCGTCTTCCATATTTCTGGTAGGTCTCCCGTCTCCAGTGACCTGCTATACACTATGGAGAGTGGCAAGCAAAGTGCCTCTGCACACTCTTTCAGTACCCATGGCGAGATCCCGTCTGGACCAGGTCGCCTTTCTAACATCCAGATCCAGCAGGTGTCTCTTGACCTCCTCTCTCGTAATTTCGAACCCTTCCAAGGCCGCCTGGTTTACTTCCCTTTCTCCTAGCACAGTGACCTCACTTTATTCTGTTGTGAAGACCTCCTGGAACCTCTTGTTGAGTTCTTCACGCACCTCTTTGTCATTCTCTGTCTACCTGTTCTCGCCTGTTCTAAGTTTCACTACCTGTTCTTTCACTGTTGTTTTCCTTCTGATGTGACTGTGGAGTAGCTTTGGTTCGGTCTTGGCTTTGTTTGCTATATCATTTTCATAACTTTTCTCTGCTTCTCTTCTCACCCTGACGTACTCATTCCTGTGAGTGTGTTTGTGTGTTTGTGTGTGTGTGTTTGTACGTGTATTAGGAGAAGTGTTTGTGCGTGTAACTCATCTCCTAATACCTATATTCCAAATGTAGGTATTTAATTAGGAGGATGAGTTGTTATGAAGTATACTGCTTATACTTACTCTAGTAATGAGAATTCTGACTCTGATGGTGACGTCGTGAGAGCGCCACGCCAGCTGCAGTAGTGACAGTCCCGCTGAGCAAGTGGTCAGTGGGGCTCCTGCGGCCACCAGAAGGCTCACAATCCTCGGCCTGTTGCAGGTGACGGCCAGAACTAGGGCGCTGGTGTAGAAGTCTCCCGTGGGTTCCAGCGGAGCCCCAGAGCGTAATAGTTGGCGAGCGGCCACCATGTCGTCACCAGTGCTGATCACCATCAGGAGGTTGTTGTACAGTGTAGCCGCTCCCTCGTCTGCCTGTGGGGGCTGCTTCTGGGGTGTGACAGGTGAGGCTTCATTAGAGCGAATATTTCCCAACCCCAGGAAAAACAGCATTAACTTAAATACTATTACACCCTTCTTATTTGGGAACATACAAGATATAAAATTCTGCAGGTCTAATACAATTAAAGTTATCTTGCATCAAAGAGGCAAGCGTAGTGTTGCATCCTTCACAGAAACTTTTACTATAGAATACCGTGACAATGATATAGATACTTGAGCACATCAATATCTTTTGAAATGTGACCTATTTAGATCATACAGTTCAGTTTTGATCACATTACTATAAAATTGACTTCAACGAGTACAAAGAAGTTAAAAATGTTATTCCCAGGGATTAAAAAATTATATTATGAAGAGAGTAATTTATATTCACTAAATTGCGAAAAAAAGAGAACACAACTGAAATTTACAAATGGATGAAAGGATATAACAAAGTGGATATGTATAACGTGTTAAACACTGAACATGGAACTATCGAACCAGTCCCTATATGGAGTAATTTCAAATCTGCACTCTGAAATAATTCCTTACGAAGCCAGAATGCATGGTGGAGTGTGCCGAATTTCCCAAATGAAAACCAGAGATGGAATGAGTACACTTAGAGATAATTCAGTACATATAGTGTACAAGGCTTTACGACGCCTACCCTCGCTAAATAAGAGATTTAAATTGTTTAATTTTGCCCCGAGGGGCAAGTTTATTCGGCAGCGCCACTCATCCTGTGAGTGGACATACCGCCATAGAAGCATGTACAACACTCTCCAATAGGAAGAAAACCTTCTGGGTTGTTCATCCTGTCATTTGTACCCAGACACAGCTGGGATTTGCTTAACTGTCTCAAGTGAACAGCTTCTCAAACAAGAAGATTAACATCTGTCAACCCTTAAAATCTTACGTTATCTTGCGGGTGCAAAATGGGGGAATCTTTAAGAATCTATGAATAGAATTCTACGATAAAGAAGAAACTCAATAAGCACCTACACGGAATACCCGATCAACCGGGCAATGCCTATATTATATTATATTAAGTTTAAGTTAAAAGCGAAGCTATACCTAATAAATTCCCTGTAACCTACCTTACCCTTCAATTGTCAACCAATGTCTGTTTTTTCTTTAAAGAGCGCTGTTTGTAGACATAATTGTATTTGTGCTGCTTTTTCATCTATGTTTTCATTTCTTGTTTTCATTCTACTCATTATGCTCAATTAGTATTAAGCTTGTCATTTAAGTTTATCATGCCCGAAACGCTTTGCGTAATAGTGGCTTTAGGCATTGTATGTACTAGCTCTACCTATAAGTCTACCAATCCTTGTAAAAAATTTATTGTATGTATGTACCTTACCTAAATAAAATTGTATTGTATTGTAATTGTATATCGGAACTGTGAGCTTCAAGCACCATGCAGCATTCTGACTAAACAGAAAATCAACCAGGAATTCTGGTCAGACCAGTCTCACGAGTGGCAGTAATCCCAGGAATCAACCATAAAGCAACCGCAAGGTAAGTAGGTAGTAGTGAAATTTTCTTTCATATTCATTAACATGAGAATGGGCGAAAAAATGTAATAAAAATAATAACATATCATCATTCTGAACGAACCTGAGGAGCTGCTTCTTCCACGAGGATGGCGGCTAGAGCCTCATGACCTGCCTGTCGGGCTAAGTCGGCCGGAGTCTCTCCGTTATAAGTGACCACACCGGGCAGCACTTGGCACGAGTTGATAAGTGAATGTACAACATCAGTCAGACCCAGCTTAGCGGCCAGGTGGAGGGGCGTGAGGCCGTCAGTGTCTTGATAGTGGCCGTCTCGGTTCTTCGGGAGGCTCGCCTCCAGGAGGAAGATGTCCTTCTCTTGGACCCACAGCATAGTCTTCTGCCCTTCTGATTCATATTCGTTCCAGCTTCTTGTCTTAAAATATTAGCATCATTTAATCATTTAGTTCATAATATGTTTCTATATTAAAGTTGTTGGTTATAAATGTGAATTGCAAAGCATAACATGCATAGGTCTACTGAACTAGGGTTGAACATACGGTGAACATAGAATGAACATAACGTGAACGGAGGATGAACATGTGCTAGAAACCTCTAAGAACAATATAGCCTAAGCTATAAGCACAATGTTAAAGAAAATTTTAAATGTAATCTAAATTTTAATTTGAATCCCATTGACGATGTGACGATGTGTATTGAATTTTGTAACTAGCTCATCAAGATTGTAACTTGCTTAGTTAAATGAATTGTGGGGTTCAGTCCCTGAGCCCATTATGTGCCTCTGTAACCCTTTCTACTACCGTCCACAAGATGGGTATGGGGTGCATAATAAATGAACTATAAGATAAACATATAAACCTGGATGTTTTCCGTATAAACCAAGATGTTCGCTATATAAACCTGGATGTTCTTCATATAAACCTGGATGTTCTCCACATAGACCTGGATGTTCTCCACATAGACCTGGATGTTCTCCATACAACTCCAATACAATAGTGTAACATGCTCGTGTCTGAAGCTAGACACAAATACAACTAATAAGTACAAAGGCCTAAAGCATTGTTATAAGTTCGTGCCAATAGGCTCCGAGACCCTAGGATAAGTGCACCCTTGTGCACTGAAGTTATTGAAGGAGGTGGGTGAGGAACTCATTAAGCAAAGCAGAGACCCAAGAGCAGTCAGTTTTCTGTTATAGTACTTCAGTGTCGCGATTCGAAGAAAAAATGCCTGCTGTATCTTGTGCATGTACCCCATCTTTGCAGAGCCTTGTTTCATATATATATATATATATATATATATATATATATATATATATATATATATATATATATATATATATATATATATAAGCGTATATAAATATCTTATATAGACCTTCTGAAGATGTATTTATATATATATATGTCACATTCTTAATCACGTGTTTATTTTCGTGATATACACACACACACACACATATATATATATATATATATATATATATATATATATATATATATATATATATATATATATATATATATATATATATATATATATATATATATATATATATATATATATATATATATATATTGGTAGCAGTCTTTCTTGTAAACATATGTTGAATATGACCGAAAGGGTAAGATTAATAATTCTTACTCGAATCTTCTCAATATTTCTTATATTTTTCTTCACTGTCGAGGGGAGTTGAAAAATTAACTCTACAAAGTTCATTTCTCAGGGAAACATACAAAATTCTCAGGTGAATTGACTGGGTAGAGGAGGATGGATTATTTAACACCAGTGGTACACGCACAAGCTAGGGGACACAGGTGAAAACTGAGTAGCCAAATGAGCCACAAAGACATTAGAAAGAACTTTTTTTCTGTGTCAGAGTAGTTAGTAAATGGAATGCATTAGGAAGTGATGTGGTGGAGGCTGACTCCATGCACAGTTTCAAATGTAGATATGATAGAACTCGAGAAGCTCAGGAATCTGTGCACTAGTAGATTGACAGTTGAGAGGCAGGACCAATGAGCCGAAGTTAACCCCCCCCCGCAAGCACAACTAGATGAGTACATAGGTGAGTACTAACCGTCATATCGCGGACGGGTGTGCGCTGGACACTAGGCTTCAACTTGGGCAGCTTACGAAGGAGCCAAGCGGTGTTATGCCGGCCCCAAGCTTCGGCCACATCCTCTGGTAGCAGACCAGTCGCGTCCTGTGTTTCCGGATCCAGACCTGCTCTATATAGTTCCTGAATAGCTGCCTCATTTCCAGACAACGCAGCTATGTGCATGGCTGTGAAGGCTGCGTTATTGACTGCAGTGTAGTCACAGCCAGCAGCAAGCAGCAGCCGCATTACTTCAGTAGAGTTGGCGAGGACCGAGACCAGCAGCGGGGTACGCATCATGTCGTCCCTGGCGTCAACATTAGCTCCAGCCTCAATGAGAGTGTTGACGCAGAAGATGTTGCTCCGCCTGGCGGCCAAGTGCAGTGCTGTGTTGCCTGCAATAACACTTGACTTGCAACTCGCCCAGCTTCGGATGTAAGTTACAAATATATATTATATATCTAAATTATATTTCATAGTTGGTTTCTGGAATTCAATTATTCGTAATAATGAAAACAGTTAACGCCAAATAATCACAGGACTTGGATCAGAGTCCAGTTGGTCAGGGAGGACTGACTAGACGCTAATCCTCAACTGTTCGCTTATGTTCTCCCAGCAGTAATTGGGTGCCTAATTATTAACTGATTAGCGGGTCGTGTTTCAGGGAAAACTAGAGAGTAAGACTTGTCTCTTGCCTCTTCCCATAAGCTATGGGAAGGGAAAACTCTCAGCCTGCTAACAGGAGTCAAGCGTTGTCTGTTCCATGTACCCCATGCATGCCAAATAAGTTTATTTTTTTTATTGACTGTATGTGACACAATAGCTATGTAATGCCATACGACAATAACCATGTAACGCAAGAGCCATACGCCACAATAACCATGAGGCACAATAGCCACATATGCAATAGCATGCAACACAAAGGTCATGTGATGCAATAGTCACGTGACACAACAGCCGCTATATAGTCGTAATGGCTTGGCACTTTCTCCTGATAGTTCCCTTCCCTGGTAATATATGAAAAATTGCCCCTTTGAAATGTAAAAGTGCAGGAAGTACGCTCAGAAATAACTATATATAGAATAGGGGCCTAAGACTCTACAGCACCTACCCCCCCTCTAGCTATATGGGTCATAGCTAGCTAACTTTTTTTCGGTGTTCAAAAAAACAACTTGATAAACATCTCCAAAGGGCACCCTATAATTCATACTCCAAATTGCAAGAAGTGGTATTGACAACCTGGTTAACCAGACCGCCAACTAGTAGGCCTGGTCCGAGAACGGGCCCGAGGACCTATTGCTCCTCGGAACTACATCAAGGTAAGGTGATTTATGTCCTTGGAGAAGAAAATATATTTTATTTGAATTCGTATGAATATTTTTTAATTTTACCAGTCATTTTTTTTGCTTATATTTATTGAACTGGAAGAGTTGGATTACATATAATATAACTACATAGTCATTTTCAGTTGGTCACAAGTAAAGATATTAATAAACAGAAATTTAAGTAACTCACTGTTACCGTCGGTAGCCTCTAAGTCAGGACGAGCAGCAAGCAGGGTTGATACACAGTCATTGTACCCAAGATGTACTGCACACTGTAGTGGTGTGTATGGGAACTTGCCTCTACAGTCAACATGGTGACCAGCGTCCAGTAAATGGCGCATGATGCGGGCATTCCCCTTCTCGCACGCCAGAATCAAAAATGAGGCACACGGATATTTTTTGTCAGTTGGCGGCAGCAACATAGTGACGTCAGCGCCAGAGCTAATGGCGGCCAATACTCCGTCTTCATCGTCCTCCCGCACCGCCCGCTCCAATGCCTAAAAAATAACAATTACAATTCAGTTACTATATATACTTGTGGACCGTTTCGAGCCCATTGATGATGTAACAATCTACATTCAATTTAGTAACTAGTTTATTAAGAATATAACTTGCTTAGTTAAATGAACAAATCCATAAGGGCCGTTATGAGGGTTCGAACCCGGGATGATCCCAGACGCGCCTTAGTCAACTGTGCCACGACATGGTTAAAAGAACTGCAACCTGGAGTGCTACTGCCCTCACGAAAATCTCGCAGCTTCTCCGAAGCACAAACTGGGGTTTCACCACTTCCCTCCACGCACCCGGGCTCTGTCAACCAGATGTTCTACCTCTACGCCCTTACTTCAGTACACACAGAAACCGCAACAGCGTGATATATCAAATGAACAAATTCACAAGGGCCGTGATGAGGTGATCCCCGGCGAAGGTTCGAACCCTCATCACGGCCCTTGTGGATTTGCTCATTTGATTTATCACGGTATTATGATTTCTGTGTGTACTGAAGTAAGGCCGTAGCGGTAGAACATCTGGTTGGCAGAGCCCGGGTGCATGGGGGGGAATTGCGTGAAACCCCGGTTTGTGCTTCGGAGAAGCTGCGAGATCCTCGTGAGGGCAGTAGCACTCCAGGTTGCACTTCTTTTAACTATGTCGTGGCACAGTTGACTAAGGCGCGTCTGGGATCATCCCGGGCGTATGTTCGAACCCTCATCACGACCCTTGTGGATTTGTTCATTTGATATATCACGCTATTGTGACTTTTGTGTGTATTAGCTAAATGAATTTTGGGGGTTCAATTCCTGAGCTCATTATGTGCCTCTGTGACTTCTACTACCGCCCACACCATGGGTATGGGGTGCATAATAAATGAACTAAAGTAAAGTTACTATATGTATTTTAAGTATTATCAATTTATCTTGACTATAATAATAATAATAAATATTATTTGACTAATTTGCACAACTTTTATTTAAAACATTTATAACTACACGGGGAACATGCAAATACGCAGACATATTCAAGTTCAAGTATGTTTATTGAGACAATAAAATACATCTCAAAGGGATAGAGTAACTTAGGCTATTTCTACCCTCCTCCCCCCCTCCCAAGCAGACATATTTTGATTGTTGCCGCCGGAGGCGGCTAGTTTATTGTGCACCCCATACCCATCCTGTGAGCGGTAACGCAAAAAGCATTACAGAGCGCACAAAAGGTCTTTATCAGACCTCATCTTAGATTATTACATAAACAATGTCATCTATCTTTCACACCGTTCATGGGACGAGACATGTACAGCAGTGGTTCTATCTTTTCTTCATGAAAACTACAATATGTTTATATCATTGTTAAAATTTACACCTTCGTCAACCATTCACGGCGGTAATAGCAGTGAGGTCATGTGCAGGTGTTGTTGATGGAGGGGCGATGACGATCGAGGGATCGATGTGGTTGCGGGGGTTAAGCTTTAGCTCTTTGGTCCCGCCTCTCACCCGTCGTGCAGGTGTTATGATCCTATGGGGTGTGGGAGACACGTTTGTTTACTTGGAAAATGTGGGAAATCTTGATTTTAATTACCAGAGTAAATGTGATGGGATCTGAATGTAAATTATGGATTTTACATATTAGGTTCATGTATATTTTGTAAGAAAGAAGTATTTTGTTATCATTAAATGATGTAGACAGTTTGTGATCTTGAAATTACAAGGGCGGGAAGTAATTACACTGCCAGCCGTAAGATAATTTTAATAATAATTTTTATTTAAGCAAAAGTACATAAATACATAGAATACAACAACAAATGTAGGAGTTACAGGAAAGACAAGTACTATGCCTAAAGTTACTAACACAGTTACGGGCATAATGTGGAAACAAATTAGAACTAAAATTGTGTAATCCCTATAGCCAGTTAAATATGTTATTGTGATATTTTGACTAGTGGATTGTATAGCCAGAATGATACAGTACTACTATGCAAGGGTTTGACTCGGTGGCATTTGGGTATTGTTGAGTGTTTTGTGTGCGAGTGTGTCCAGTACGATAGTTGTACAACTCGACAACCACCCACAAGGCGGGATTGGTCTTCATTCCCTAAGCAGACACCAACGGGTGCAGTCATGGCGTGGCGTGAGTACATATATTAGTATTAAGTATTTGCAGTCATGGCGTGGCGTGAGTACATATATTAGTATTAAGTATTTTTCTTGTTTCCTGTTAGGTGGAGCCACCGGGTCTGTTCTTCGGTGTCTTGCTGGTACCGATCTTTCTGTTCCTGGAAGCCGGGCATTGCAGTAGGTTACACTTGTTAGTGATGTGTTTTGTTTAAGATCCAAAGTTTACCCACGAGGGAATATGTATAGGATTGCTATTGTACAGCTCGTATCCTAACTTTATGGAGTCATAGATTTAACGTAATGTAAAGTAATGTTACTGGGGGGATTAATTAATAAATGTATGTTCAAATTGTAGCTTGAGGTTTGCTCTCCTACCGTAGAGTGTAGGCTATCATCTGCTAGCCTCTGTGTATTTATCCCATTTTATGGAGTTAAGGCCTGAGGACGGGCCTTGCCTAACTAAGGGTTTGGGATAATACTGCTCTATTTTTTTATCAGAGCACATTTTACGTACACCCGTACATGCTTGCAAACCCTCCCTCCCATGTTTGTAACAGCTAGAGAGAGGGCACTGATAATGCATGAATGAAGACCAATGGCATGCAAGTCCTGACTCCTTGTAGTTCTGAGTCAAGTCCTCTTGACTTGACTAGTCTTGAGGACTAGTCAAAGGGGACTCAAATCCTGAGTCCTGACTCAAGTAGGACTCAAGTCCTGACTGACTTTGACTCCTGTTCTGAGCGTTGCCCATCACCACAGCGTTGCGTTGATCACTAGCATCATAAATAGTCGCCAGATGCTCATTAATTAATTGTGGGTAACTTTACACTTAACTAAGAACTTATTACGTTAGAACCTTATTTTTAACAGTGCATCATTCTTTTGTCTTCGGATTGCACTGCTTTAAATACTTCACCTAAACACTGCAAATGCTGTACAAATAATTACCAACAGAATCCAAACACTTAATCTAACCTATCCTAGGCCTAACTAAACACAAAATTATATTATATGTTAATATTTATTTATGTTCTAGAAAGTAGGTTTTAACACATTATATTAAAATTTACCAGTTTATCAGTTTGGACAGGCATAGCTTGAAGACGAGTTGTGTAAACAATGGCCAAATGCTAATTAATCCAACACGTCCTCAGGTTATATTCATTCCACGCAGCGGTCGACCCGTGTTCGAATATGTCACCATCTTAGATGCTTCATCGACGTACTACAAACACACACAAAAATTGCCAACTGAACCAAAACATCTAACCTAACCTGTAATGCTGACAATACTCTCGTTTCCTTGGACTGATGAGCATCCTGCCATGTTAAATGGGATTCATGTATTGTGTATTTATACTCACTGAATTAGTGCGCCCCTTGAGGGACTTGAAGTAGAGGGGGGGGGGGGGTAGAAATAGCCTAAGCTACTTTATCCCTTTGAGATGTATTTTTTTCTTGTCTCAATAAACATACTTGAACTTGAACTTAATGAGCATCCGTCTCGACAGGTCAAGTGGCTGGGCTAGGTCCGTGTTAGGCTATTTTGCTGATATCACCTCGAGAATTTGCGTGTACGAGATTGGAATTTAAGTACCTAATAGCTCTTCTTTAATGCGGATGTGCCTAAATATGCAAACAAATAAATACTTGAAGGATGTTTTAAATCTCACCGAGGTCTGTTTTGTCTCAAACTCTTATTTGTAGAGTTTTAATACTAAGGTCTTTAGACTTTTCAAGTATAAGAGTTGGCTTACATCTAGGATGATTATTTTGTGCTAAAACGTTTTCCAATGCGTTTATTTATTTTTCATGGCCGAGGTCTCTATGCTTGAATAAGGTGAATTGTACAAGCGGTTTTGAAATTGAAATAAGTTTATAGAGGTAAAATAAACACAAAGGGATGAGGTAGCTCAAGCTATTCTCACCCCGTTCAGTACATCGTGTTAATACATACATAGATACACATCACAAGCAATAAACATATTACCGAACATTCTGAGAGATAAACATATACATTTCCTCCTTTACACAAGTAGTATGGTACGAGACGTACACACAAATACTTTTATGACCTAGGTATACTGTATAGACATGTTGCTATTTTACCCGTCTTACAAATAAGAGCGACGTTCTCATATTTTTAATCTGGTGGCACTCTTCAATGATTAGGAAGTTACTGGATACCAGGATGAGTGGTAATCACAAATTGTTACTTTCACCAGTTTGGACTGAATTTCATCCGCATATAGTTTAATTTGTAAATAACCGTAATTGGTTTATGCGTGTATCATAGGGTGAGAACTGATCACTAATGTATCAGAGTGGTCTTCCAAGCCTCATGCGGTCTGGACACAACGCAGGAAGGTCTTTACACATACATAGACCCATACATCATACATTTAAAAAAAAATCAAAATTCAAATTCAAAAATTCAAATGTTTATTTAGGTAATTTTTTTTAAAGAAAAAAAAGTTTATTTTAGGTACATACATACAAGGGGTGATACAAATATTGATGAATTTGTAGATAGAGTTAGTACATACAATGCCTAAAGCCATTATTTCGTAAAGCGTTTCGGGCAAGAAAAACACTAAAGACTAAAACTTAATACTAATTGAGATTAAAGTATAAAATGTGTTGAGAAAATATTAAAAAAAAAGGGGGGAACATGGCAGAAAAACAGCGAAAATATAATTTGGTCGACAAACAGCATTGTTTAAAAATAACAGACATGGATTGACATTATAGGGGTAAGGTAGGTTACAGGGAGTTAATTACGTAGTGCTTAGTTTTTATCTTAAACTGGTTGGGAGAGTCTTTAACATGGTTGGGAAGGTCATTCCACATTCTGGGTCCCTTGATTTGTAGAGCATTTCTAGTTTGATTAAGTCGTACTCTTGTAATATCAAAAAGGCATTTGTTTCTGGTGTGGTGCTCATGGGTTCTGTTACAACCTTCAATGAAGCTTTTAAGGTCAGGATTGGCATTACAGTTCAGCATTTATATATATATATATATATATATATATATATATATATATATATATATATATATATATATATATATATATATATATATATATATATAATACACATGAGAAGATGTGCAGTGACTTAATATCAAACATATTCAGAGATTTGAGTAGGGGTACCGAGTGATGTCTGGGGCCAGAGCTGGATATTGTCCTAATAGCAGCTTTGTGTTGAGTAATTAGAGGACGTAAATGATTTTGGATAGTAAAACCCCAAGCACAAATACCATAGTTGAGATAAGGATAGATGAGGGAGTAATAGAGCGTCACCAGGGCAGGGCGAGGTACATAATATCTGATCTTAGAAAGAATGCCAACAGTTTTTGAAACTTTTTTTTATATATTTAGAATGTGTCCCTGGAAATTCAGCTTGTGGTCAATGAGAACGCCAAGGAATTTGCCATCTATTTTGTTACAAATTTGGGTATTGTTTATCCTGAGGTTTATTTGATTAGAGGATTTATTGCCAAACAGAATATAGAAAGTTTTGTCAATGTTAAGGGTGAGTTTGTTGGCAGTTAGCCAAAGATGGACTTTATTTAGCTCAGTATTCACTGTGACATTAAGAGCAAGGGGGTTAGGACTGGAATAAATGAAGGTTGTGTCGTCAGCAAATAGAATTGGTTTGAGGTGTTGGGAGGCATTTGGAAGGTCATTAATGTAGATGAGAAAGAGGAGAGGCCCAAGTATGCTGCCCTGAGGAACACCAATGTTGATGGGTAGGGTGGGAGAAATTGAATTATTCACAGAAACATACTGGAGCCTGTCAGTAAGGTAAGATTTGAGGTCAAACCTGTCCTCTTAAAAAGAACGTCGCTTTTGGCAGTTTGCCCGTATGGCCGAATTTGGACGTAATTTGAAAATGAAAAAAAAAATGAAAATAAATTTGAGATTTTTTTTCAAAAAACAGTAAGTTAAGGGTCCTCTGATAGGTTAGGTGGGCAAGAAATTCTCATAAAGTTTCAAAACGTTATGAAAAACGTTAATTTAAAGTGTCCTCTTATAACCTCTGCGCGTAAGCCGGACGACTCAAATAGAAAACGGAACAGAACGTCACTTTTGTGAGTCGATTTCATTTCAAATTACGTCCAAATTTGGCCATAGTGCGCATACGAGCCAAAAGTAACGTTATTTTTAAGAGGACGGGTTGGGGAGTGACCTCTGACTCCATAATGATGTAATTTAAGAAGAAGGTTTTGGTGGTTGACAGTGTCAAAAGCCTTACGCAGGTCAATAAATTACCCAACAGGGAACTCATTTTTATCAAGAGCTGCATGTATCAAGTTAATCATACTAATAAGTGCATCGTTAGTGCTTTTTTTTGGGGTCTGAAGCCATATTGACAAGAGCTAAGTATATTGTGTTTGGCTAGATAAGAGTAAATTAAGCTGCATGTAGACTAGTTTTTCAAATATTTTTGACAAGTTAGGCAGGATTGATATAGGTCTGTAGTTGTTAACATCAGTGAGATCATCACATTTGTGGACAGGGGTTACTCTCGCTTTTTTTTAGAATATCTGGAAAAGTTTGGAGTTCAAGTGACTTGTTGAAGAGCAATGCAATAGCAGGGGCTAAAGATCTGGAGGCTTTTTTGTAAATTAAGGTTGGCACTAGACCACCTTAGTCCAACCTTTAAAACCAAGTCTAGTATCCTCAAGGGCACTAGACTTGGTTTTAAAGGAAAGGATTATTTCATTAACATCAGTGGAATTTGCAGGCGTTAGGTACAGAGACTGTACATGTATATACAGTACATATATGTACTGTATATACATGATCATTGCCCTGGTTCTAATTATCATGACACTCAAGCAGTCATCCACAGCAGCAACCCACCACTTCATAAGACCAGGTGTACAGTGGTCCTTGTAATTTGTCTTCCTCAGTCACTCACGGTGTTCACCGAGCTGGTCCTGACCGAACACTCACTCAAATACAGTCTCTTCACCCTGTCAGCAGTGTGGACAGGGTCCACACTGGTCCTGTGATGTACCAAACATCACAGCTGATCGCAAAAATGACTTGATGTTTCGTTTTCTATTGTGGGTCCTTGGTCAGGTTAGGTTCGGGCAATTTAGCCCGAACCTAACCTGACCTTTTAGCTCCCCATCCCTGTACCTCCCTCCATCTTTTCTAAACCCTTTGGACATCAAAGCTAAAACTACGCAACATCACTGGGCTCAACATATCACCACCGGGCTCTAACAGCACCACTAAACACTACAGAGCACCACCGAGCTCTGACAGCACCACTAAACACTACAGAGCACCACCGGGCTCACTCAGCACCACTAAACACTACAGAGCACCACCAGGCTCTAACAGCACCACTAAACACTACAGAGCACCACCGAGCTCTGACAGCACCACTAAACACTACAGAGCACCACCGGGCTCTAACAGCACCACTAAACACTACAGAGCACCACCGGGCTCACTCAGCACCACTAAACACTACAGAGCACCACCGGGCTCTAACAGCACCACTAAACACTACAGAGCACCACCGGGCTCACTCAGCACCACTAAACACTACAGAGCACCACCGGGCTCTAACAGCACCACTAAACACTACAGAGCACCTCCGGGCTCTAACAGCACCACTAAACACTACAGAGCACCACCGGGCTCACTCAGCACCACTAAACACTACAGAGCATCACCGGGCTCACTCAGCACCACTAAACACTACAGAGCACCACCGGGCTCACTCAGCACCACTAAACACTACAGAGCACCACCGGGCTCTAACAGCACCACTAAACACTACAGAGCACCACCGGGCTCACTCAGCACCACTAAACACTACAGAGCACCACCGGGCTCTAACAGCACCACTAAACACTACAGAGCATTACCGGGCTCACTCAGCACCACTAAACACTACAGAGCACCACCGGGCTCACTCAGCACCACTAAACACTACAGAGCACCACCGGGCTCTGACAGCACCACTAAACACTACAGAGCATCACCGGGCTCACTCAGCACCACTAAACACTACAGAGCACCACCGGGCTCTGACAGCACCACTAAACACTACAGAGCACCACCGGGCTCTAACAGCACCACTAAACACTACAGAGCACCACCGGGCTCTAACAGCACCACTAAACACTACAGAGCACCACCGGGCTCTAACAGCACCACTAAACACTACAGAGCACCACCGGGCTCTAACAGCACCACTAAACACTACAGAGCACCACCGGGCTCACTCAGCACCACTAAACACTACAGAGCACCACCGGGCTCTAACAGCACCACTAAACACTACAGAGCACCACCGGGCTCTAACAGCACCACTAAACACTACAGAGCACCACCGGGCTCACTCAGCACCACTAAACACTACAGAGCATCACCGGGCTCTAACAGCACCACTAAACACTACAGAGCACCACCGGGCTCTGACAGCACCACTAAACACTACAGAGCACCACCAGGCTCTAACAGCACCACTAAACACTACAGAGCACCACCGGGCTCTGACAGCACCACTAAACACTACAGAGCACCACCGGGCTCACTCAGCACCACTAAACACTACAGAGCATCACCGGGCTCTAACAGCACCACTAAACACTACAGAGCACCACCGGGCTCTGACAGCACCACTAAACACTACAGAGCACCACCAGGCTCTAACAGCACCACTTGTCACTATACTCAGCCCCCCCCCCCCACAAAAAAAAAAACTGTACGCAAACAATTTCAAGTCTACCTGATTAGCGGCGTTGACCTCAGGCTGTTGCATCGTAAAAAAGAGATCAACAGCATGTACTTTCTTGTAAGATAGATAGATCTGCTTTATGTGCCGACGGCAGTTGAAATGTCGTATAAACCCATGCGATTCTGGCAGTAGGGAGAGTGAGGCGCCGCACGGTTACTGTGGAGGCCGACACTGGTCGATTGACTCAGCTCATACGTTTGGTATATCCGGTGCAGCTCCGTACTACGTCATCAGAGACGCAAAAAGACTTAACAGGGAGAAAAGATTGCGAGGTGGGACTCCCCCCACCAGTTGATTGACACGTGTTGTCGCTTGGGATGTGAAAGACACTTTCACGTACCACATCGCAAGCACGCGTATAACTACGCACAAACACATTTGCATACGTGAACACATCCACCGCAGGCTGGTGTTTGTGGGGTAGATTCTCGAGCAAGTGTGTATGTGTGTGCTTAATGGCGTTGCCGGCTCTCCAGTTTTTATCAGGAATGTCTCTGTTTAGGCTACCAACGTCTGCGTTAAAATAATAATAAAACTCTGGTTGCAAGCCACGTTTTATAAATACTAATTAGCTTAACATTTTTAACAACAAATTGAATGTTGAAGAATATCATTTGCTATAGTTGCTACGCTGAAGCTGACGTATGGCAACGTGTTAAAATTACACATTGTCAAGTGCTACAACGTTGGCGCTAAAGTGACAATTTTAAAGGAAAGATCTGGCAACTGTTCCAAGCAGACATGTGATTGCTAGGCTGTCTATTAGTCAGCTAGTCTACAAGTTCTACAAGTATACTAATCTACTTTACTTGTCCAATCAATCTACTTACTAATCTACTAGTCCAGCGGTCTGGTAGTCTGATAGGCTTCTAGGCTGGTTCTCTGATTATCCATTAGTCTTCATCTCTGCTATAGTCTGCTATCTGGTGGCCCTTCGAGTCGAGAACTCCATGTAGCTAAGACAGTGACATGTATATAATCTCAAATAATGCATCAGTGATTGATATTTGTGTTCGGTATAAACTTAACTTTCCCGTCGTGCTAAAGTATCATTTATCTAAACCATTCGGTCATTTACAATAATACATACCTTGCTTGTTCGGGTTTTTTGTTCGTTTCTTTCGGACATGTGTTTTTTATGACGAGTGTATGAATGTTTCTATTTGCGAGTGCATGTAAGTGTATGAGCGTGAGATTGTGTATCTTAGTTGTATGAATGTGCGTATTCATAAGTATATGAGTGTATAGGTGTGTGTGTGTGTGTGTGTGTGTGTGTGTGTGTGTGTGTGTGTGTGTGCGCGTGCGTGCTAGTGTAGCGCACACATACACTCACATGTGAGTGTATGTAAGGGGTATGAATGTGAGTGTCTAAATGTGGGTGTGTATACGTGAGCGTGTTAATGTATGCATGAGAAACCATACGAGGGTGTGAATGTGTGCTCTCATAAAGTAAGTTTAAATTATTTACATCCTAAGTCGGCCTCAGAATATACATTAAACAGAAAAAGAATAATGAAAAGCAACGCCAAGATGACAGTTAATTTTACCATGTACGCAAGAATATCAACAAAGCTGAGAGACCTGAGACAGAAATAAATAAAACAGACTGAAAGGCTCAGTTTTTTACACTTATAGTTATCAACAGTAGAATTGAAAACGCCGATTACCAAAAGTATAAAAACTACATCAAAGTGAACAAAATCTTCCCATAACCAACTTTCTGCCTCAAAGAATCAACAAGAAAGAGATATAAGTTTATACAAAATAAATAAGTAAAAAATATATCACATAACTACTTGATCATAGATTTTTGTATTAAATTTATCACAAAAATTTTCTGCGATTCTTTCTCGTTATTCAGTAGAGATGACTCGGCAAGAAGACCGCGGCAATAACTGATGCATTATCAGTCAAGACTGTCACCTCAGATAAAGGTAATCTTATCTATTACATAATAATGCCCTCATTGTACCGAGATATTTTCCCCATTATGAGGCATACCAAATTTCACTAACAGAACGAGGTAAAAAAAAAAAACTAACTGCTTTCATTACTCGTGATTGTGCTTACGAGTATCAGGTTATCTTATGGTTCGATAACTACACCAGTCACTTTACAAAAACTGATGTACAATGTACTTCATGACGTACCTAAGAATAGGGCATACTGGTATATGTGGTGCGTTACGGTCATACCTGTACGGAACATTTGGCAGGGTTGAAGAAATTATTTTGTGCTCTGAAGAAGGCTACTTAACAGTGAACTTAAAAAAAAAACTTTACATAAGGAACTATTGTGTATCTTGGCCATGAAGGACAGGGTAAGGTATTAACTGTTCATGATAAAATTAGCGTTATTATTGAGTATCTTGCATTGCCAAGCAAAAAAGATTTACATCGCTTCATAGGCATCTTTTATTGTAAGGATTTTTCAGTGGTTGCGATTTCCTTGACAAATGTGTTAAGAAAGACTAAAATTGAAGTGGACACAGAAGTGTTAAAATGCATTTCAGAACTTAAGACGTTCAGAACTCTACTTCAGTCTTGTCATCTCCAGCGTTAGCCAGCCAAAAATATGAACAACCATTCATATTACACATTGACACATCTGATCTTGGGGCTGGAGCTGTATTATTTCAGTTAGAGTGATAACATTTAATATTCTGTTAATATGTAATTTAAACAAGATTAATAGACACCATACAGCAGATTGACAGCAGATATAAGAAGACAGCAATGATCACAATGATAAAGATGTTCAGATTGGGTACATGTGGGGTGCGCTTGGGGGGGGGGGGGGGGGTGTGGGGTGCGTGTGGGGGGCGGGATGTGGGGTGCGTGTGGGGGGTGGGGATGTGGGGTGCGTGTGGGGGGTAAAAGATTGGGAGATTGGGTAGCAATAGATACAGTGCAATTTTAAAGCAAAAGGTAAAAAACTATGAAGATGAAATTAGATACTTTTTAGTATTGTTTTTGAATGACGAAAAAGTTGGACAGCTTTTCAATTCAATAGGGAGCGAGTTCCATAGACTGGGTCCCTTTATTTGCATAGAGTGTTTACACAGATTAAGTTTGACTCTGGGGATATCAAAGAGATATTTATTTCTGGTGTGGTGATAATGGGTCCTATTACATCTGTCCAGGGAGAGTTTCAGAGCAGGATTTGCATTTAAGAACAGGGTTTTGTAAATGTAGTTGACACAAGAGAATTTGTGGAGTAAGATTATGTTTAGCATGTTGAGTTAAACAAAGGGGCTGAGTGTTGTCTGAAAGCAGAATTTGTTATTATTCTGATAGCAGATTTTTGCTGGGTGATGTTGGACTTGTGGTGGTTTGCAGTGGTTGAACCCCCATGCACAGATACCATAATTAAGATAGGAATAGATTAGTGCATAATATAGAGAGATGAGAGCAGAGTTAGGTACATAATATCTGATTTTGGAGAGTATGCCAACTGTTTTAGAGACTTTCTTAGTTATGTGTTGTATGTGGGTACTGAAGTTGAGTCTCTTGTCTAGGAATAGGCCGAGAAACTTTCCATCATTTTTATTGCTAATGTTTACATTGTCTATCTGAAGCTGAATTGCATTTGTAGATTTGCTTCCAAATAAGATGTAGTAGGTCTTTTCTATGTTAAGTGTTAGTGTGTTGGTTGACATCCATAATAATGAGACGTTTTGACCCGATGGGTGGGGTGAATAGTGTCATTTGTGTTGTTCTGGGTACTAATGTTTCTGCTGCTTGTGTAATTATGGTTTGTATTTTGTGAACCCAAATGTTTATGTCAGCGGGAGTTTTTTTTTGCATTCTATGCATATGTTATATCAGTGTTATCTAATAATTTGTTCGAATGTATCCCAGTTGGCCCTTTTGTTCGTAAAATAAGGAATGGTTTTGGTGAGTAGGGGCTGATAAAGAGGCGTAACGACACGCGGGTGTGATCACACTCAGGGAGAGGTACAAGTGCTATGCAGTGCTGAAGATGTGTGTCTAATCTATTAGTAAACGGATAAGATCAGGTCTACTGGACCCAGTACGTGAAAAGTCTGTAGAGAAATTAGGTCCAAGGAATGGAAGCCTTTTTTTGGTAGAAATAGTTGTAGTTGTTGACCATGGAGGTTAATGTTGTGGTGGACTGTATGATGTGGAGCGTTGTGGTCTGACATCAGAAAGACAGGTATGTTTGTGCGATTGAAAAGTCTTGTTTGAACTTCCATTGGTTTGGGCGTGTATGTGTTGTGCAGATGATTAGTGGTCCGTGTATCTAAATGGCAAGGAAGTGTTTGTGATGCCAAGGCGCCTGTAAAAGTTCTCGTTTGATATTTTAAATGTAGATTTTCCTAATTCTACAACACATGCATGTGCCTCATCAGGTGATTGTTGGGTGGTGTAGCCATACTGTCTGATTTTATGAGTTAATGATGCATGTGCTAAAAGCAGCAGATCAAATCTCTCGATGCCTCTGTAAAATCAGCCACTAGGTGACGATTGCTAGAGTATACCCTAACATTAAATCGTAAAATTTTTAAGAATATCCTGTTAGTATCCGAGTGTTGTGTGAGCCTTAATCTATTTTAACTTTGTATTGGTCTTCACCAATCATGGTAATCATTATAATCGTTCCTTTCAATATAATATTTTGTTATTTTAGGGAGACTTTAGTGTAAGGGCACTATATATATCACTAGTGTGAGAGGAGTTTCTAAAAGAAGGTGCTGATGTAGATGGTGGAGATTTTCGAGAAAGCCGTCGAGTCCTCTGATTACGTGATTGTTTTTGATGTTGTAATTGTTGACTGAGGGACGACGAGGGCTCTGATGCCCACTCCCCAGCTGCCTGATACCGGGAAATAGCGAAGAGGGATTGAATCCTTACAGTCTCTTCTGGCCACAGACCCTACAGTCTCTTCTGGCCTGACGCGAGCGCTATAAATTCGTAGGCAGTGGAAAATTCTATAATTGCTTTGCGTCAGACATTTACCGTTGAAAGAATTATGTAGGCATCTTCAGCCTGGGCTCTGAGTTGCCTGAAAACGGATCAAGGGAATAGTAAACAAAGCAGCCAACCCCCACCGCCAACACCAGCACCAGGTTAATGTTGAGAAAGAGCTTCGTGCGAGGACGTTCCTCGAGAGAGTTCAGGGTACTCTCTTCCATCTGAGGGTCACTCTGCTGGGTCTGGAGGCCACACAGCCACAGGAAGAACTTGGTTGTGTGGGCCAGGCGCTGGCTGCCACCTGCTTCCGTCGCCGCCTCCTTGTCCCCGCGCTCTGTAAAATAAATGATAGGGTTAACACTCTCTGGCTCTATAACAGTTTTGATAAAAAAAACATGATGTTATGAATGTTATAAATGGTACAGAATGCGGCACCTTGACGAGAAAGAAGGTCGATGTAAAGTATAAATAGGAGATGTATAGGGGAGATGGGATGGGGAGGGGTGGGGTGTGGGTAGGGATGGGATGGATGGGGAAGGGTGGCGTGATGGGGAGGGATGGGGGAATGGGGAGGGGTGGGGGGATGGGGTGGGGGTTATGGGGAGGGGTGGGGGGGATGGGGCGGGGTGGAATAAGAACGTGTGAGTGTTGAAACAAACTAAGTAAACAGTTGTAAATAATCAGAAACTTGATAGAAGGGAATCTAAGAATTAATAGGTTGTTAGCTGGACTGACGGGGCTTAGTAGCTAATGCTCGACCCTACACACATGAGACACACACACACACACACACACACACACACACACACACACACACACACACACACACACACACACACACATGAAGAAAGCATTGATATAACCAGTCTATACAACAAGTTGGTTAAAATTAGATACTATAGTGACCTCTCATGTAGAAATAATTAGTAAATTGAAAGAAAGTAATGACCATTTAAATAGCAAAGTTGTATGTCTTGAGGGTTTAGTGAAAGACTTGTGTAAGGATAAAAATCAATTGGAAACAAATTGCAAAGCCATGGAAGAAGAAAATAAACTCTTAAAAATAGCTTTGGAAGAAATTAAAGCAAATTTAAACATAAATGACTACAATAGGTTAGGTAAGGAAATTCAACAGGAGAAACAGCTTTTGTCAGCACAGATGGAGGAAGTTACACAGGGAATAGAACAGTGCAAGAAAGATATGCAACTCACCTATGCACAAGTGGCCAAGGAGAAGGAAAAAATTGAAGAAGCAGTAAAGGAAGTCAAACACTGCAGCAACCAAGATAAAACAAACATTAGGCTGGAAGTGAGAAAGGAATTGGCATCTAACCCGAAGTTGGTGCAAAACACAGTTGATCGGAGTAAGTCCCTGATAATTTTTGGCTGCAAAGAAAAGGAGATAACATCTAGGTCAGAAAGAGCTGTAGAAGAAGCAAAAGTAGTAGATAAAATTGTTGGCCTCGTGGAAGGTCTTACAACCATAGAGAGTGTGTGCGACTACAGAAGAATAGGCAGATATGTAAAAGGGAAAAATCGACCTTTGAGGATCACCCTAAATGGTGCCAAACAGATGGAAGAAGTACTAAAGAATGCTAGAAAATTACAAAGTGATGAGTGTTACGGCTCTACTTTGGCGTAACCGGGTTCTTTTCTGGTGTTATTAGAATTTGGGAATCCGGCCCCAAGCTAGTAGAGGCTTTCAAAGGATGTGTTCCGTAACGCAAGTTAAATTAAAGGGGGAGGGATACAAATGCTCTGATTTATATATATTCTCACCACCACCATATAAATAAATATATAACAATCACACGGGGTTTATAACTACACGATAATATACAGAGTTGTCTTCCTCTTAAGACACAGGATGCTCCACGGTGCGCACGATGAGTAGCCCTGGTTCTCTTCTTCGGCCCACGATGAATCCTCTTTGATTCTCTCGGCGAATCTACCCTGGCCACAGGCCAGCCAAATCACAGTCCCACTGGGTGCTCCGTCGTGGAGGCCTTCAACCACAATCCAGCCTGTAGCTGGCAGGTTCCAATCAGCTCTGCTGTGTAGGCCACTCCACGACCGCTACTAGGGTTGCGAGCCCTAGGCAGGAGCCTCGTGTGATCCCGCTGATCACTCTCCTCTCTAAACACCACAGTGGCTAGTCTCTTCCACTAGCCAGCCCCGGATAAGGCGATTCCTGATACTGCCACGTCACAGGCAGGCTAACACTTTCAGCAGAGTTCGTCCGGGGGTGACTCACAGCTTCTTCAGCAAACTCGTGGAGAGACCTTGGCTGCCTTGGGTAGACTGATCCATCGTCCAATGCAGCAGTCCCAGGTCGAGTCTGCAATCAGACACGTCATTAATACTGGGACTAGGGAACCTCACTTACAGGCTTAGACACAAACGTCTACCTCTCTGCTCCATAGATGGCGTTGCTGTCTAAGCGCCACCTCACCAGAGGTCAGCAGCGGCTATGTTATGAGCTGATTAAGACGGGAATCCAGCCCCTGTGGCCGGTATATCCCGTCCTCACTAGATGGCGTTGTCCATTTGGAGGGGGTTTCGGGAGCAGACTCACAGATGGCGCTGTCGTCACTGCTCCGTGCTCCGGCGCTGGACTCGGGTCCGTAACAATGAGGATGGGAAAGTGTGGCCGTTAAGACGAGATCTTTCAAAAGAAGATAGAGAGAAGCTGAAACTGAACCTCGCCGAGGCAAAACGTTTAAATGAGAGCAGGAATGAAGAAGAAATCAATTCTTTTTTCTACAAAGTGATAGGGGTAGGCAGACCAGTAAAGTGGTACATAAAGGCAAACCAACAAAATCATTAGAGAGAGGGGGAGTGAAAAATAAGAAGAGGGGGAACAAGTTCCTGAAGATTGCATACACCAACATAGATGGAGTAAGATCGAAGATACTGGAGTTAAGTGATGTAATACAGCTGCAGACACCAGACATTGTTGCACTCACGGAGACAAAACTTGAAGATGTTATTTTAAATGAGGTCATATTCCCAAGGGGCTACTCAATTTGGAGACGGGACAGAAAAATTAGGAAAGGCGGTGGCGTTGCTGTGCTGGTGAAAGAACACCTAAAGGTGAACGAAATAATGACTGCCAATCCACAAGAAGTTGACATAATAGCACTAGAGATCTGCCATGAGGATGATAAACTAATGATCATAAATGCATATAGTCCACCGCCAAGCAGCACATGGTCAAAGGAAGAGCTAGATAGTAAACGAGAAGGTCTTATAACAATAATGAGAGAGATCATAGCGAGAGCGGATAACGATAGTTCACGACTGTTGATAGTCTGCGACTTCAACTTGAAATCCATAGACTGGGAAGCATATGAAGCGAAAACAGAAGATTTTTGGACCTGTAAATTTGTAGACCTCATCCTGGAAACATTCTTGTGTCAACATGTTAAACAAGCTACGAAGATGAGGGAAGGGGACGTTCCCTGCATGCTAGATTTGATATTTACCAGGAAGGAGGAAGAAATATTTGACATTCAGTACCTGCCTCCCTTGGGTAAAAGTGACCATGTCTTTTTGGGAATAAAGTATGCAATGCGTTATAATCTGGAAGAAAATATGAAGGTTGATGCAATTGAAAAACCCTGACTTTAGGAGAAGACATTATGGCAACCTTAGAAAAAATTTTAGTGAGTATAATTGGACAGACGTGTTGCTAGGCAAGGAAGTGAATGAGATGTATGTCAAGTTTTGTGAAATGTATGATAAAGGCACAAAATTTTTTATACCAAAACAGAGATGCAGAACTAGGAAACAGGATTGGTTCAACAGAAATTGCAAGAGGGCCAGAGACCAAAAAACACAAAAATGGAATCAATACAGGAAGAGGCCAAACCCCCAAACATACCAGCGATACAAAGATGCGAGAAACAACTACACGGCAGTGAGGAGAGAGGCAGAAAGAAATTTTGAATAAGGGATTGCAGACAAATGTAAAACAGAACCATGTCTATTCTATAAATTCATAAACAACAAATTGCAGGTAAAGGATAATATTCAGAGGTTGAAAATGGGAAATAGATTCACGGAAAATGAAAAGGAAATGTGTGAAACATTAAACGAAAAGTTCCAAAGTGTGTTTGTACAAAATGAAATCTTCAGGGAACCAGATACAATAAGAATTCCAGAGAACAACATAGAGCACATCGAGGTGTCTAGAGACGAAGTGGAAAAAATGCTCAAGGAGCTAAATAAGAACAAAGCAGTTGGTCCAGATGGAGTTTCACCATGGGTTCTGAGAGAATGTGCACCTGAGCTCAGCATTCCACTTCAACTGATTTTTCAGGCATCCCTGTTTACAGGAGTTGTAGCTGATGTGTGGAAAAAGGCTAACATAGTTCCAATCTACAAAAGTGGAAGCAGGGAAGACCCCCTTAATTATAGACCTGTATCATTGACAAGTGTAATAGTCAAAATATTGGAAAAAATAATTAAAACTAAATGGGTAGAACACCTGGAGAGAAATTATATAATATCAGACAGACAGTATGGTTTTCGATCTGGAAGATCCTGTGTATCGAATTTACTCAGTTTCTATTATCAAGCAACAGATATATTACAGGAAAGAGATGGTTGGGTTGACTACATCTATCTGGACCTAAAAATGGCTTTCGACAGAGTTCCACATAAGAGGTTGTTCTGGAAATTGGAAAATATTGGAGTGGTGACAGGTAAGCTTCTAACATGGATGAAAAATTTTCTGATTGATAGAAAAATGAGGGCAGTGATCAGAGGTAATGTATCGGACTGGAGAAATGTCACAAGTGGAGTACCACAGGGTTCAGTTCTTGCACCAGTGATGTTTATTGTCTACATAAATGATCTACCAGTTGGTATACAGAATTATATGAACATGTTTGCTGATGATGCTAAGATAATAGGAAGGATAAGAAACTTAGATGATTGTCGTGCCCTTCAAGATGACCTGGACAAAATAAGTATATGGAGCACCACTTGGCAAATGGAATTTAATGTTAATAAATGCCATGTTATGGAATGTGGAATAGGAGAAGTGATCCTGAGACCTGGAATTTTAAGAACAAGAGGTCATAGATTTAAACTAGCTAAACACAGATGCCGAAGAAATATAAGAAAATTCACTTTCTCAAACAGTGGTAGACGGTTGGAACAAGTTAGGTGAGAAGGTGGTGGAGGCCAAGACCGTCAGTAGTTTCAAAGCGTTATATGACAAAGTGCTGGGAAGACGGGACACCACGAGCGTAGCTCTCATCCTGTAACTACACTTAGGTAATTACACAAACACACACACGGCCTCGCGGCTGAGTGCCCAGCGCTCGGGGGCCGTAGTTCTAAGGACTCAGGTTCGACTCCCGGCCGAGGCGGAAACAAATGGGCAGAGATTCTTTCACCTGATGCACCTTTTTCACCTAGCAGTAAATATTTACCTGGGAATACACACTTCCTGGGGGATATGTGTGTTTGTGTTTGTGTTAGAGAAAAATATTTGTAGTAGACATAATAGAGAACAAATAAATCGGTTAGAAAGGCGGGATCCAAGTTTACATCGAAATGCGCCATTCTATTAAGAGCACTCTCACACTTTCACTCATACTCTCACACTCACACTCTCACACTCACACTCTCACACTCACACTCTCACACTCACACTCTCACACTCACACTCATACTCTCACACTCACACTCTCACACTCACACTCATACTCTCACACTCATAATAACACCTGGTTCTCACTCAACGGGTGTAGGTTATGACGGACCAGTCCTCCCCTCTGCCGGTGATATCTCTCCAGTAATAATTTTAGCAATTTACTTTATATCTGAAAATTATTGCAACTTGAATGATCAAAACAATGTGAAAAAACTAAATATTTTGTGAAACGCCGCTCTTCACACCGAGATGTAGAATGTCGTCCTCGAGCTCCATATTCCGACGTATGTCGTCCTCGAGCTCCTTATTTCCCTGTTTGTTGTCGTTGAGCTCCATATTCCAACGTATGTCGTCCTCGAGCTCCTTATTGAGACGTATGTAGTCCTCGGGCTCCATATTCCGACGTATGTCGTCCTTGAGCTCCATATTCCGACGTCTGTCGTCGTCTCTTTCAGCATTCTCAAAACGAGTCCAGAAAGTCGTTCTGATTACCTGAAAAAGAAATAATATTTCAGAATTTCAGCTGCGTAAAGGGTGACTGTGGATATTTTTAGTCTTCTGTGTTTATGTGGTTCTGGTAAATGTTGTACGTTGGTTTGTGCTTGACAGAAGCACGCAGTGTTACTAATTATGGACATATTCTATAAATATAGTATTATGTTCTTAATTAAATCTATCTTAACCAAACAAATGTAACTTAAACTAATCTTATAACCTATTCTAAGAACATAAGAACAAAGGTAACTGCAGAAGGTCTCTTGGCCCATACGAGGCCTAACTGAATTTAACTAAACCACCTAACCTGACTTGAGCAAACACTGTAGCCTATCCTAGGCCTATAGAAAACCTTTAATTATAAGTGGCAAATCAGCCATAGTAAATGATAGCAACTGCCATATGTAGAACACTACTCTCAGCTGTTCAAAAATAATATGAAGAACATCCCACCTGTCTTGAGTGCTGTATATACTTCAGCTTATTATTTATTTTATTATATTTATGTTCTAAATTGAGAAGTGCAACTTAATCGTAATTGTCAATATTGTTAGATGCAATATGACAAAGTAAAAGAATCTAATTCTTTACATATACACTAATGTTAAAAAAAAAATTAAATATAGTTAGGCCTAGTTTAGAATTATATGTTAATATGCCTAAAATATGAATTACTCAATTGCCACAAAAGCGTTCATATCAGGGCGAAAACGCAATCATCAACTTACAGTATAATTTTGGCATGATTAAGTTTGAACAAATTTACATTTGTTTATATCTGAACATATAAAAACTAAAAATGTTGAGAGTATCATGCAGACTATGGTCAAATCCACAAGGGCCGTGACGAGGATTCGAACCTACGTCACCACAGACTATGGTGTTTGTAGGCTATATCGTGAACGTTTAAAACTGAGTTTGTTATATACCCTGAAGCTGTCTGGAGGCTGAGTCATGAGGGACACCGTCGCTGAAGTGATGGCCGTCATCCAGAAAAGCAATACTGCGAAGTACATAAAGTTGAGGCGGACGATGAAGGGGCGGGACTCGTCCTGCCAACACGCTGGAGGCGGGTAGGAGAAATCCAGGACCATGCGTGTTACTCCGATCGCCAGCCCCACCATTAGCCCACAAAAGGCTCCCCGCTCATTCATCCGCTTCCAAAGGATTGCCATGGAATACACGCAGGCAATGGGCGGCGAGAGATACGCTCCAACCTTCTGGATATAGATAAAGAGTTGTCCACTCTGGACTTCCTCGATGACTGGTACCCAGGCCACCGACACGACCACCAAACCCACAATACACAGCTTCCCCACGATCAGCAGTTCACGGGTCTTGGCTTCGGGGCGAACTCGACGCCACAGATCTAATGAGAACATAGTTGAAGCAGAGTTGAAGATGGAGGTGAGGTCAGTCATTAGTGCTGACAACATGACGGCTAAGATGATGCCCTTGAGTCCAGCGGGCATTATGCCCACCACCAGTCGCGGATAGGCAGAGTTGTAGCAGGAAGACCTGGAGCCGCAGGCACGCATGCACTCTTCAGGCAAAACACAAGCGACATCATCCGGGAAGAGTGTACGGGAGATCATACCAGGTAAAATGATTATGAAGAACGGTAAGATCTTGGCGTACGCGGCAAACAGAGTCGCTCCTTTAGCATGAGACAGGTTCTTCGATGCCAGTGTTCGCTGAATCATCATCTGGAAATCTTTAGTCAGATTAATTTATTGTCTTGGAAGAGATACTAAGTATAATTATGAAATAATTATCCATTACTAGTGGTTATCTTTAACTTATCAGCTTTAAGCATATAAATGAACTGATACCAATGAATTCAATTGTGCTCAGACGTCAGTGCGTGTACCACTGCAACAGTCAACCAACTGAAGCCTCACCTGGTCTGCACACCAGTACCAGATAGAAGCAGGCGTCTGACCCAGCAGGAAGGCAGGCCAGGGCAGGTCAGAGTTGACGGGGTCCCTCAACATGACCCAGGAGTCCGCCCTCGGTATTCCGCAAGATGTGTTCTGGAACCTCAGCTCGGGCACCGCCTGCATGTACTTGTACTGAAGGGCCTCGTACCCTCCCACCTCGTAAAAAGCTGCAAGAAACAGTGCCAAATACATTTAGTGTATCGTATTAACTTTGAATTTACAAACTTAAATTTTAAGGTAAAAGACCTATGTAATATGTAAGTCTTATGAAAAGCTAAAAGCAGGTGCAGGCGATGAGTCACAATAACGTGGCTAAAGTAAGTTGACCAGACCACACACTAGAAGGTGAAGGGACGACGACGTTTCGGTCCGTCCTGAACCATCAAGTTGATAAACTTGAGAATGGTCCAGGACGGACCGAAACGTCGTCGTCCCTTCACCTTCTAGTGTGTGGTCTGGTCAACTAAAAGCAGGTCAGATTTCTAACTTCCTACCATCATCATAATCAGTAATTGTCCGAGCATAAGGTGCACAGTTCTTGCACTCAAACTGTAATATTATTTACACGTCATATATCGTCAAGCTGACGAGAGTTCTCACTTTGAACTGTACCGCCATCTCACTCACATAACCCCAGGCTAAGAACCGAGTAGGTGTCGTATTTGTGCTATTTACATTGCTGAAGATTAAGCCACCCTAAAGATGGCACGGCCATGAATAGCCAGTAAGTGGAGGCTATTTCGAGCCATTGCCAGTACCAATAGCTGATACAGGACATCTGTGGATGGATGGGGGGACGGGTCTTCATGGTGGATTTCAGCCTCGGAGGCCAGGCTGTACCATACCAATTATAGAGCTGGTGGGTTAGTGTACATGAGATGACCTAAAGGTAAGACCTCTAGGTCTTCCGTTTTTTCTCTGGCTGAGCCGTGTTGTCGTCGGAATTTGGTGAGGTGGCCTCCATGAGGAGATCTTGTACCGAGTAGGTGTCGTATATGTGGTGCGGCGGTGGAGCTCCTTCTAAGATTTCCTCGTCTGAGGAGTCCATAACACCCGTAGTTGGTGGTTTTGTCTTTCGTCTCGCAGCCTGAGGTAGGCTCAGGTGTATTTACAATGCTTGTTGTTGTTGTTTAAGATTCAGCTACTCGGAACATAAAGTTGCAAGTAGCACGGGCTATGGTGAGCCCGTAGTGGACTCACCTGGCACAGGAGCAGGGCTGTAACTGATTTACAGCCCCGACTACCGTATCAATGTAAAAAATATACTCATTTAAATGTAACTTCATTTATAAAAATGTATTTGCAATGTATTTGCAAAGGCTTATGTTCTCTTTGTGTTAAGTGGTACAAGACGTGAGAGAAGTGAACAAGTGAATGAAGGGACATGGGAGACACAGTCACCAGCGAGGCATGGGAGACACAGTTACCAGCGAGGCATGGGAGACACAGTCACCAGCGAGGCATGGGAGACACAGTCACCAGCGAGGCATGGGAGACACAGTCACCAGCGAGGCATGGGAGACACAGTCACCAGCGAGGCATGGGAGACACAGTCACCAGCGAGGCATGGGAGACAGGCTGGTAATTATCCCTGCTAGGGACCTGCAGCTCCCTGAACCTGCCTGGTTATTCATTACACAAGGGCATTGCCTCCGAAGGGGAACTCGAAACCATAATTTGTTTATTGTGTGGGACAGGAAGCCTGGTTGGCTTGACAACGTCTCCCTAGGCCAGCTATGACCTTGGCCAGGACGCAACCCACAACAGCTGGCCAAGCGTCCCTTTCCTGCAGTGGGAATCGAACCTTTCGTCTGGAAAGTAACTCCAGATATTGTACAGTGACATTTAAAAGCAAATTGTTGCATATTTAGTTACGGAGGTAAACATGCACAAGAGCTGGCATTAGGGATAACCTCCTTACAGCAACAGTCCCCTTGTAAAGACTCCCGATGGTCTTATGGGATAATAAATCCATGTGAATTCATTCAGCTTAATAATATGAGTGGCTCCCAGTTACGAGCATTTCGAGCAACGAGCAAGCCACTCGCAGACAATATGTCTCGACTGACGAGCTTTCGCTCGATTAACGAGCATTCCCGCTGGTTTTCGGACACCTTCGACGACATTTTTGTTGTTGTTTCACAAAACGAGTTTTCCCACATGCCGAGCTCGTTACCGGAACGGATTAAACTCGTTAATCGAGGCGACATTGTATATGAATATTCTGCCAGGCGTAACATACAGGAATGTTGTCGGTGAAATTTCAGCGCGTGTGATGAATCAATGGATGCATGTATATGCATGATGCCGCCTGCATGGCCCTGGAGGCCATGCAGGCGGCATCTTACCTTTGCTCATGACGACCAGGGCGCCGGCTATCATGATGAAGAACTGGAGGGTGTCTGTATAGATGACCGCGGCCAGGCCTCCCGTTATGGTGAAGACAGCCGTCAGCAGGAGCAGCGCCACTATAGAGCCGTAGATATTCCAGTGGAAGACCTGGTTGATGAAGAGAGCTCCCGAGTACAGGTCCACCTGCACGAGACACACGGGGAGGAAAGGATCACCGTATCAGTCGTTCCTCAAGTTGCATTGTCGTGGGGGAAGTACTGTGTACATTGTTGTGGGGGAAAGTACTGTGGACATTGTCGTGGGGGAAAGTACTGTGTACATTGTCGTGGGGAAAGTACTGTACACATTGTCGTGGGGAAAGTCCTGTACACATTGTCGTGGGGGAAAGTATTGTACACATTGTCGTGGGGAAAGTCCTGTACACATTGTCATGGGGAAAGTACTGTACACATTGTCGTGGGGAAAGTACTGTACACATTGTCGTGGGGGAAAGTATTGTACACATTGTCGTGGGGAAAGTCCTGTACACATTGTCATGGGGAAAGTACTGTACACATTGTCATGGGGAAAGTACTGTACACATTGTCGTGGGGAAAGTCCTGTACACATTGTCATGGGGAAAGTACTGTACACATTGTCATGGGGAAAGTACTGTACACATTGTCATGGGGAAAGTACTGTACACATTGTCATGGGGAAAGTACTGTACACATTGTCGTGGGGAAAGTACTGTACACATTGTCGTGGGGAAAGTACTGTACACATTGTCGTGGGGAAAGTACTGTACACATTGTCATGGGGAAAGTACTGTACACATTGTCGTGGGGAAAGTACTGTACACATTGTCGTGGGGAAAGTACAGTACACATTGTCGTGGGGAAAGTACTGTACACATTGTCGTGGGGAAAGTACTGTACACATTGTCGTGGGGAAAGTACTGTACACATTGTCGTGGGGAAAGTACTGTACACATTGTCATGGGGAAAGTACTGTACACATTGTCGTGGGGAAAGTACTGTACACATTGTCGTGGGGAAAGTACTGTACACATTGTCGTGGGGAAAGTACTGTACACATTGTCGCGAGGGAAAGTACTGTACACATTGTCGCGGGGGAAAGTACTGTACACATTGTCGCGGGGGAAAGTACTGTACACATTGTCGCGGGGGAAAGTACTGTACACATTTAATTCCCATTGTATTGTATGTTATTATTACGAACACACCCATTGTATTGTATGTTATTATTACGAACACAATTACTACCATTATATAAGTATTTTCATCAATAATTAATTCACATTTCGCAATTTAAAAGTACAAATTAATAAAGACAAAAAGGGGATTTCGTAATGAACTTTTCTAATGATCATTAATAAGCTTTCATCTTCGTCAAAACATCGAGGAAGTGGATATCAGATATCAACGGAGTATCTCAACCCAGTAATGAGAATATCATTTGTTGTCATGGGATTATTAAATGTAAGGAGAGGTGTACGAGCTTGGTATTCGTACAAGAGACGGGAATTCCGTCTTAAATGGCATGTATGGCATAGATGGATTTATTTTATTATATAAAATAATTTTGCACGAAGATATGTTATAAATCTTATCTGAAACTGCTGTATCACACGGTTATACGGGGTGGGGGGGGGGGTGTATTCCGCTGTATTCCATACATCACACAAGAGACAATAGGATCTCCTTAACAAACCTGCAATTTACCTGTTGTATCATGTTTTGTGGCGTAATGTACTGTATAACGCATTGTATTATATTTTTGTTAAGAATGGTACACTGTTTCTCTTCACACACTTAACGTATGTCACCGAGATCCTGTTGAATATGTACAGGACTATATACAGGACTAGGGAGAGAAGAGCCAGGTACTCCTGTATGACTTACTGAGATCTTGGTGAAGATATACAGGACTAGGGAGAGAAGAGCCAGGTACTCCTGTATGACTTACTGAGATCTTGGTGAAGATATACAGGACTAGGGAGAGAAGAGCCAGGTACTCCTGTATGACTTATTGAGATCTTGGTGAAGATATACAGGACTAGGGAGAGAAGAGCCAAATACACCTGTATGACTTACTGAGATCTTGGTGAAGATATACAGGACTAGGGAGAGAAGAGCCAGGTACTCCTGTATGACTTACTGAGATCTTGGTGAAGATATACAGGACTAGGGAGAGAAGAGCCAAATACACCTGTATGACTTACTGAGATCTTGGTGAAGATATACAGGACTAGGGAGAGAAGAGCCAGGTACTCCTGTATGACTTACTGAGATCTTGGTGAAGATATACAGGACTAGGGAGAGAAGAGCCAAATACACCTGTATGACTTACTGAGATCTTGGTGAAGATATACAGGACTAGGGAGAGAAGAGCCAAATACACCTGTATGACTTACTGAGATCTTGGTGAAGATATACAGGACTAGGGAGAGAAGAGCCAGGTACTCCTGTATGACTTACTGAGATCTTGGTGAAGATATACAGGACTAGGGAGAGAAGAGCCAAATACACCTGTATGACTTACTGAGATCTTGGTGAAGATATACAGGACTAGGGAGAGAAGAGCCAAATACACCTGTATGACTTACTGAGATCTTGGTGAAGATATACAGGACTAGGGAGAGAAGAGCCAGGTACTCCTGTATGACTTACTGAGATCTTGGTGAAGATATACAGGACTAGGGAGAGAAGAGCCAAATACACCTGTATGACTTACTGAGATCTTGGTGAAGATATACAGGACTAGGGAGAGAAGAGCCAGGTACTCCTGTATGACTTACTGAGATCTTGGTGAAGATATACAGGACTAGGGAGAGAAGAGCCAAATACACCTGTATGACTTACTGAGATCTTGGTGAAGATATACAGGACTAGGGAGAGAAGAGCCAAATACACCTGTATGACTTACTGAGATCTTGGTGAAGATATACAGGACTAGGGAGAGAAGAGCCAGGTACTCCTGTATGACTTACTGAGATCTTGGTGAAGATATACAGGACTAGGGAGAGAAGAGCCAAATACACCTGTATGACTTACTGAGATCTTGGTGAAGATATACAGGACTAGGGAGAGAAGAGCCAAATACACCTGTATGACTTACTGAGATCTTGGTGAAGATATACAGGACTAGGGAGAGAAGAGCCAGGTACTCCTGTATGACTTACTGAGATCTTGGTGAAGATATACAGGACTAGGGAGAGAAGAGCCAAATACACCTGTATGACTTACTGAGATCTTGGTGAAGATATACAGGACTAGGGAGAGAAGAGCCAGGTACTCCTGTATGACTTACTGAGATCTTGGTGAAGATATACAGGACTAGGGAGAGAAGAGCCAGGTACTCCTGTATGACTTACTGAGATCTTGGTGAAGATATACAGGACTAGGGAGAGAAGAGCCAAATACACCTGTATGACTTACTGAGATCTTGGTGAAGATATACAGGACTAGGGAGAGAAGAGCCAAATACACCTGTATGCGTTGTCCCCCGAACCTCTTGTTCATGTACTCAGGTACAGTACACACCTGAACAACAAGACAATGGTCACATTATCTGCGGCTAACAATATAATTAGTACATAAGTCCACCGAGGCAGGCATGCCTGGAGGATATAATGATCAGGGGATAATGTTTGTTTATGTCTCAAAGCATCTACTACTTTATTGACCTTGAAGGAAGACCTTTATTGACCATCTACTACTATATTGACCTTTCTCTAATATCTTTCCTCGAAACAAAGTCTTTGTGTAATGTCTATTTTGCAAATTTTTAAATTTCCAACCAAGAAAACTGGTCAAAATAATTCTTTCATTTGACGATAAATGCAGTGGGTTACTCACCCCACTGGTGACACACAAGTGGGTTACTCACCCCACTGGTGACACACAAGTGGGTTACTCACCCCACTGGTGACACACAAGTGGGTTACTCACCCCACTGGAGACACACAAGTGGGTTACTCACCCCACTGGTGACACACAAGTGGGTTACTCACCCCACTGGTGACACACAAGTGGGTTACTCACCCCACTGGTGACACACAAGTGGGTTACTCACCCCACTGGTGACACACAAGTGGGTTACTCACCCCACTGGTGACACACAAGTGGGTTACTCACCCCACTGGAGATGAAGACAGGAAGGAAGACCCAACTCATCAGTTGAAGAAGGATGATCGACTGAAAGTAAACGGAACGCGTCATCTTTGGACAACTTACTGTTGGACAGCATTGTAGGTGTGTTGGATCAAGTGAGCAACTTACAGATTCACGTTGACACTGTTGTATCATTAGGACAAATAGAAGGGGTTACCTTTCGAATGTGAAGTTCTGTCAAGGTTCTGTGAATGGTGTCAAGAACAATTAGGATAAACTGTTAACTTGAAAAGCGTTGTTTTGATTGACAACGAGAGGCCGAGAGCATCTATCCATGGATGTGGTGGTGACGTTAGCGGTTTCGTTGCCAAAAGTATGTCAGCAGAACTTTAAACTGCTGGAAAATTAGAGGTTTGGATGTGAATGTAAACAAAGAAGGAAGGTAAATAATGGGGAGGAAATAACGGAAAATTAACTCAATAAAGAAAACCTTGGCGACACACATGCTTGGGGCGTTACGCTAAGTTTCCATCTCCTGGCCTTACACGAGGCGGTCATTTTAAATGTCAGTGTATATTTGCATATGGAACTCTTATGATAGATTTAGAGCTTGAGAATCAGTGTGTTTCCTGCAACATTTGGTCGACCAACCACAAGAACACTGCTTGACGACTGTATAGAGGTTTATGTAACGTTGATTAATTTCTGGTGCTTAGTTATGGAGTTCGGGCAGAATGTTATCTTTATTCACGGTGTGATCGGAACAAGTGCCTTAGCTGGTGGAATTAGTGAATCAGTGACATTGTTGATTAACTTGATTTAACTCCATCGTATTATTCCAAACGATGGAGTGAGTTAGTCGTCTATATAATTGGCGCATTTGTGCGAGGCAAAAGGATCCTTATTACATTGACAAGGTTGTTGGGGAGAAGTCCCATATTACTCCGAAACTGAACACGAATTGGTTTCCGAAACTATTCATGGTTTATAATGCTGTGTGTTAATGTGAACATGTATTGAGTATTGGCAATTTATTTGAAAATGAGAACAAGTTTGAGAGAGAATAGGGAATGGGGACAGAGAAGGAGGGAGAGAAAGAGGAATAAAAGAAAGAGGTGATAGAGGGGAAGAAAAGACAAGAAGGAAAGAAAAAAGAATGTTAGAGAGTAGGAGGAAGAAGAAAGAAGGGAGAAAGGAGAGGAGGTGAAAGAGAGAGGTGGAGGAGAGCGGCAGCAGAACAAAACAGACATGCCAGACTAAGCATTACAGTGGTACAGTTTAACTAACAGTTGACTTACTATGAAGTTAAAGGCGCCGACACCGACGCCAGCCGCCGCCCCAGATCCCGCCATGCCTATGAAGTGTTCCGCCCCGATGTTGCTGGCGAAGAGGGACGCTCCCACCTGCCACACACACACACGCTACTTGTATGCTACCCTAGTTACACGTACACTTAACAGTTATAAAATAATTGTAATGGGCAATAGATTTTGAGTTACATAATGGGTTGATTCAATGGGAATGGTTGTAGTTAAGTTGCGTCAGGTCAAAACGGTCATACCAGGCCTACCTCTTTAATCGGATTTGCTATAAAATGGTGTACATTCCCCATTAAGGATCTTCAACTTAGCAATAATATACATTATTTTGCTTCTGGAAGCCCTCACCAAGGGTTTAAATTCGATGAGCATTTACAATTTGACAGATACCCGGACAAACCAGGAATTTTCGAGTATCAGGCAAAAGGGGGCTGCCTTGCCTTGCCACACTCCTGACCTGGTGCCCGAGTGGCCCGCCTAGGTGCCTGAGGTGTCTTGTCTCATATACCTGAGGTGCTGTTGTGGATGACTGCTGGAGTGTGGTGGTGCACCAGGAACACTCTACACCTCCTATACACTATCATGACTTACCTCCCACACACTGTCTGTCTGTCTGTCTGTCTGTCAGGCTGATATCCTGCGTATCAACCTGTTGAGCGAACAGGTTGATACGCCGATGTGAGTCAGTCCTTGAATGAATGATCGCTGGTGGAGTGGTGTTCTTGAGAAAGGCACTACCAGCACGAGGCTGTTGAGGACTGAGAGCCATGTGTTACAGGTGCCAAGTATACTGGTTGTCCACTGGTGGGCAGGCTTTGTAATGTATTGACACCTTCCTCTTACCACACATGAACTCACCGGCAGCCACCACATGTGCCGACCCGCCAGGAAGTAGCCGGAGACGGTGCTGCGGTTGTGGCCGCACAGCGCCTGTCGGAGGGCAAGGGAGAATAGCATGAGTTGCAAGGTCTCTAGCACAGTCTAGTGTCTGTAAGTTTTATTTTCGGCGCTGGTGCCATTAGGTCTGTTAATCAATAGATATAGAAGCAACTTAGAGAACAAATACATAAAAGATTGCAGCCCGTGGAATCCTTTGTAGTCAGTTGATAAAGAGTAGCCCGTAGAGTCAGCAACTTTGCACATCATGACCTTATTCCCAGCTCTATACGAGCTATGCCTGGAGCTTAGAGCAGAGATTAACAAGCAACAAGGGAAATGTCAAATGGAGAGCATGGCTAAAAAGCAGAAGACTACTCAGCAGGCTAGTTGAAGGTCAGTCAGTAAAGAAGGACCTATGGCTACAGCGAGGGACGGCAGTGGTTGAGACGTCGATTCACTTTTTTTTTTCTGGAGCAAGGGGAACTTGAGCGGAAACCGAATGGAGAATTTTAATCACATCCAGAGGATAACTTTCGCGGGAACGCTGTAAGCAGGACGGCTGTATCACACAACAACAAGAGCATCAGGATTTTGGTAGTTGGGGACATGTTAATGAGCTGTATGGATAAGGTTTTTTGTACCCGGGATTCTTCTGTACCCACATGACTACACGGACATTTGGTCAGTAGCCTGGTGGCTGACCGTGTCTTGGTTCCTTTATTAACGTAACAAAGAAACAACTTCCTTTAGTGCTCAGTTTTCCAAGCATAAAACCTCACACAAAAACATTTACAAGTTGTCTGTTACAGTCACCTGCACAGGGGTATACGCACCTAAAGGTGGTCACCACTTCTCGGTGTATATACACTGAGAATTTACTCAATAAAAAGGTAAATTTAATTTACTGAGTTTTGGACTATATCCAGGACTAAAATATATTTGGTGGTTGGACACTAAAGTACTTGTGGTGGCCTTAATAACCCTCCAGGTGTTGATAGGCATCGATAATAATCAGTGTCGTTTCCATGGCCAGCGGGTCTCAGATGATGAGCCCCAGTTCTAGTCGAAACATGGTTAAAAGAGTATACAACTCAACACCTTAACCTGCCCAACTACTCGGCAATCCACAACTGTAGACCACCCAAAGAGGTGGTGGTACTACAGTTTACTAGCACCAAGAGCTGTCATGCCCAAACGTTGTTATAACTAAAAACACCTGTGGCGAGAATATCTTTGCCCGGTTCAAAGTCAAAGGTGAAGGCCGATGTTACTGTGGGAGCAGTGCACAGAATAACACAGATGTAACTGAATTTAACTCTAAATCCAGGAATTTAATATTACGCAACAAGGTATTTTAATATTAACCTCTGTCAGCCTGATAATCTACAAATTGCTAGTTTCCTAAACTGTATGAACTCCTGTATGATCCCCTAAACCAAAAAGAAATACTGAAACGGCTGCCTCTACTCTTGACCACATCTGGCCAAACAACCTCTCCACTGACCTCAGGGATTAATCACTGATGGCACTACTGACCATTACCCCACATTTCTTCCACCCGACATTACTAAACCACCTTTAGACACTATGAACATTAACTTAGACTGCACAGTGAAGCTTCCATAAGCAACTAGTTGCTGCTGCTGCTGGTAACATTAACTGGGAGATTGAATTTGGTAATAATACTAACATCAACCTCGTTGTGCCAATATTTCTTCACAAATCTAAGCCTTTATAGTGCCCACTATCCAATGATATCGGAAAAACTCGCTATCAAAATGATAAATAACCATGGTTTAATTAAATTTATCAACAAACAGCATGAATATAAGAAGAAATATAGATTAGAAGTCATTTCTAAATTGTTATGGAGATATCCTCAATGCTAAGATAATTAGAAGAGCCAAAACGAGTTATTATGAAAATAAATGTAATCAAATAAAGTGTAGCATGAAGTACACACACACATGGAGCAGTTTCTCAAACATTAGGTTCAACGAAGACCTTGAATAGGAAACCAATATTCCTAGCTGGCGACGATGGAGTGCTGTCAACCGCAGACACCGCTGCTAAATTCAATAGTTTCTCTTCATCCATTGGTGTCGGAAAACCCGACACCATTTACTAATATTAAATACAATAAGCAGATAATATTGCTGTTGTTGTATATATATATAAATTCTCCCATAGAAGACGTGGCGCAGTGGAAATTTCCGTAAATTTATTTATATTTATTTATTTATTTATTTATATACAAGAAGGTACATTGGGTTTGTGAGAATACATAGCCTAGTATTTACAATGTTGTAAAGCCACTAGTACGCGCAGCGTTTCGGGCAGGTCCTTAATCTAACAGATAATTTAAAGTAGGTAAATTCTAGCAGAATTAATAAAATGATAACAAATACATTGCAAGAAAAAAAATGAGATGAGAGAGATTAGTAAGTATATTAAAGCACATTGGTATATTAAAGCTCTGATTACATTGACAGCTTGATTGGTAATTTAAACAAGATTAATAGACACCATACAGCAGATTGATAGCACATATAAGAAGATAGCATTGATCACAATGGTAAAGATGTTCGGATTGGGTACATAAAGATTGGGAGATTGGGTAGCAATAGATACAGTGCAATTTTAAAGCAAAAGGTAAAAAACTATGAGGATGAAATTAGGTACTTTTTAGTATTGTTTTTGAATGACGCAAAAGTTGGACAGCTTTTCAATTCAATAGGGAGTGAGATAGAAAATAGATAATAGATAAATAGAAAACGAGATATCATTGCCACATAGCGCTATAAATTCACCAGCTATTCTGTTAGGAATTATTCTTAATACAGTAGTCTTTAGATTTATTACATCATAAAAACATCTCATTTGAATTAACTTAATTATCAGTATCAAAATAGAGTAAATGTGACCTTTCTACCAATTATTGGCATCTGGACAAGGAGAGCCAGGCATCAGTGGTGGGTGAGGGAGGTCAGCCATTGTTGTTAGGCCAGAGTCGCTGGGGAGCGAGTTCAGCTCCTATATTTCTCCCTTGGACGAAGCGTTATGAAGATCAAATTAGTGCTTCTATCATCATCAACACGCAGTCAACATCTAAACAAGGGATGTGTCATTCCGAAATCTTATCTAAGTCATTCCTGGCCAGAAATGTTAGTTAGATAGGATTAATTCCGGTTAGAACACTAGTAAGCGACTAAATCCAGGTAATTATTCCTTGGTCCTTATCTTATATAATATACAGTATTTTCTCTGATATAGCTGTCATATATAGGATTCCTGCTTTACAGCAAGTGTCCTTTTAACAGGTGTAGAAGAGGAAACAAGAATTAATCTTGGTACATCAGTTACTTGGGTGTTGGAAGCTAGCCTCGCACGAGGATTATTTGGTGTCTACATCCTAGTTATATCTGGTGGACTAGGCCAACCATACAATAAGATAAGACCTCCAAATTTTATTTACTAATATATGTAGTTTAATACTGTAGTTTGATTGGCTGCATATATATAAATTTAATATACCCCCTAATGTGCAAGAAGTCGATTTGTGAGAATATTGCAGAAATACAGTCTGCTAAACATCATTCAAATTGCTATCGAAATATATAAATTAACGTAAATATATATTCTATATAAATTCATATAAATTAAATAAATATAAATCTCACGAGTCGGTTCCCCACAATTGGCACATCCGTTGCGTATAAACTCCCAGCATCCGGAAGTAACGTTAATGCCTGCCTCACGGGCAGCTATTCCAGTGTCTATACCCAACCCATCCTCCTGTTTAGATAGATCTTTTTGTAACAATGTGCACCATAATACAAACATTGACGTACTAAGCAATTAGATAGTAGAATTTGGTACTATTCACTTTATAGAGTCTGAAAAAATGAAGTTTAAAAACAAATATTCTTAGGCACACTACTATATTAGGCCTCAGATAGCGTGTATTAGGCCTAGGAAGGTTAGGTTAGATTAGTTTAGTTTGTCCTTGCAACATAGATATAAAATCTTTTTCCATTCTGTCCAAATTCAACAGTACCGATTTCTACTTTCTAATTGCGTTGTACGTCGGTATATATACTATGGTCCTCATCTTTACTATAAGTACTACCAAAATAGGAGGGTGGGCTGCGGTACACAACTCCAACTAATTCCTCAGATGTTAATGCCTTAATCCTTTCGCTTGACACTAATTCAAGCATCCCTGGTGAGATACAAAGCATAATTTACAAAGAACTTCAAGGTCTTTACTCCCGGCCATGTCATTGTTCTACAACAAGTCACTGGAACTCCAACCCTTCCCTGATATTACAAAAAACTAGAGTAATAAGTCATAAAAGTGTTGATCTCGCTGAAGTCAACAATTTAGACCAATATCAATCCTGTTAACCTTGTCCAAAATATTTAAAAAGTTAATGTAGAAACAACTCGACTCTCTAGATAAACATAATATACTCAGCTCTTGCCTGTATGGTTTCAGATCCCCGAAAAAGCACCAACGACGCTCTCGTTAATATGCTTGACGTCATACACCCCGCTCTTAATAAAAATGAGTACCTGGCAGGTTTATTAATTGACCTGCACAAGGTTTCTGACACCGTTAACCACAAAGACCTTCTCAAACTGCAACACTTTGGAGTGATCAGACCCTTCAATTCCTGCAGTCTTACCTCAGAGGCAGGCTCCAATATGTTTTGTGAATGACACTACTTCTCTCAACCTTCCAATTAACATTCGTGTTTCTCAGGGTAGTATATTTGGTCCAAGTATATTTGATCCACTCCTCTTTCTCATTGACATCAATTGATGACTTTGCAAATATCACTCTATACCTTAGGCCAATTTTGGTGACAACTTTCATTTTAACTGATCCTAACCCTCTTATTCTGAATAACATTGTGAAGACTGAACTAAAAAAAGTTCATCAGTATTATTATCATTATAAATACGTTTCACGCACTCAGACGTGGGCATAAAATCTTTGCGGAACTCTGTAACAGCAAGAGTCGACCACAGGCAGGAGCTGCACTCTC